CCCCTCCCTTTCTTTCTCCATCAACATTCGCTGACTCTTTCCAGTTTCCATTGCGTCGCACTCAAGTACCCCAAGTCTCCGCCCAGCCTACTAGACATCAACCTACCATGTCGGCATCCACTTCCACGGCCGTCCCGGCCGCTCGCCCCAACCCACCATCTCCGGCGTCGTCGCGCAAGGTGGCAAAAGCCTCTGCTTCCTCTGCGCCCTCCTCCCGGCCCCGGCCGGTCGACCCATACTACGGACATGAGGAGACCGCCCTGTTGTGTGCACGCTTTGTAAGTCGTCCTACTTTACTTCCCTCTCCCTACGCGAACCCCCCCCCGCCACCCCCCCCCCCCCCCCCCCCCCCCCCCGCCTTGATCGTCATGCGCTGACACTTCTCAGATCAGCTCGCTGTTCCAGTGCCCCAACATTCCCAGCGCTACCCACCCAGGTGCGCCAACGCCTTCGTTGGCACACTTTGTCGCATACGCCCTTCACCGCACGCGTCTTCCATCCGTCGTCACCTTTGCGGCCCTCTTGTTGTTGCAGCGCCTCAAGACTCGCTTCCCCGCCGCCCGTGGGTCATCAGGGCACCGTCTCTTCATCTCGGCATTTATGATCGCATCAAAGGTCATTTGCGACGACACGTACTCGAACCAGTCGTGGTGCATTGTCGGACAAAAGATGTTCCAGCTCAAGGAGATCAACCAGATGGAGCGCGAAATGTGCGGCTACCTCGAGTGGAACCTCAACGTATCCGGCGAGGACGTGGCTCAGTTTGAGAGCGAGGTTCGCCTTGAGCACGGGCCACGATCCAGCATGCGTCTGTCTTCTGCCGTGCCCGAGGCACCTCTGAGCGTCGCGTCCATTCCTCACTCGGCGGCCGCTGCCGCCGCGTACCCCTCTCCCGAGGCTACGCCAAATGTTGCCGCTGCGCGGCCCATTCGCCCCGTGCCAACACCATTGTACAAGCGCTCCCACAATGCTTTTCCATCCCCAACGTCGTCGGCACGCAACCCATACCTCAACGTCTCCCCTCAGCCTCCAGCACTAGCCTCGGCTTCTTCGTCGCTTGCGTCGTCGCCCGCTTCAGAGGACTGCAAGACGCCTTCACCAGTGGCAATGGTCTCAAAGCCAAAGCGGCCATCATCCATGCGCAGCCACTCATCCAAGTCGGTCTCCGATTTTGACCATGGCTTTGCATCAAACGTCCGCGCCATGCACGTTGGGGGACCACCCTTGAGCGTCGGAGGCTGGTAACTGCGACGCACCTTCATCACGTCCGGGATACCCCCCCTCCCCCCGCCCCCCTTTCTTGAGCATAATCCCCTGCCTACCAGACTTGTACAGTTGTATATCGTGTCCATCCCTTTCATGGTCTCCTTTCATCTCTCCATACTACCACATCTCCAGCATCGACATACATAGTGAAATTCATGACACACACAAATCGATAATGACATGAACTCTTGCAAACCCTCTCCATTTCGTTGGCTCTTGTTGGGTGCTCGCCGCCACTATCACTACTTGCCGTGAGAATGCCGCGAGCACGGGTTCGTTCGGCCCAGATGTGTAGCCACAGCCGTGTCGAACCGCCTAAGCGAAACAAGGCCCCCTCAAACGGCACACGGGCCGGTGAGATCTTTACACGGTGATTGATCATTTTGCTAGTTTAGCGCCACGCGCGCTTGTGTTTCGCGCGACACACGCTAAACACGGAGAGGGTTGGTCTTGTAGCCTCTTTCACTTAGGAAAGCGACCCCCCAAAGCACAAGCACGTCGGAGAGTGGGGGGTTTGGGCTCGTCGTAGGGTCCCCCCCCCCCCCCCTCGGTAGAGCGTGTGTGTACAAACTGTGGCACATGCCGCCAGAAATGGCAGAATTGAGCTGTCAGGGGTGGGCGGTGCAGGCCGCAATGCGGCATGTGCATGTGTGCCCAGTAGTCGAGCCCGGTGCCCTTGCATCGGCGAGGAATGACGCGGGCCACGGCGGGCGTGCGAGCTGCTGGGTCTGGGTCTGGCACGAGAGGTACGCAGGACGTGGAATGGGGGCATGTGCGTCGGCGCATCGGTGGAGCGACCGAACCTTGGGCTGTTGGCTGAGGACACCGGCGGGCGCGGCGGGAACAGGTTCGCTTTCGGTTTCGTTTGCATTGTTGCATCGTCTGGCGCTTGGCTCTGACTGCTTCTCGCTTCTGGGTTCTGGGGCTTCTGGGCTGGGGCTGCGGCGCGGGGGGCTGGCTCAATTGGCACTGGGTCGGCCACTCTCTTAGTGTCTTAGGTCGTATCAAGCTCCAGCGGAGCCACCAGAGCATCCACTGCAGATCAGCAGCTTTGCAGTGGCGACAGGCGACATTAGCGGCTTGCGGCCCGTGAATGAGCCGACTGATTCCGGCGCCTCACCTGGGTCCTGGTCCTGCGTGAAATTCCATACGCGCGCGCAGTCCCAGCCCCTGCATCCCCATGTAGCCGCAGCTGTTTAGCATGCCCATCTGTCCATATGCACATACGCCCATACGCCGATATGCCACAGCCACAGCCTAGCCCAGACCATGCTTACAATCTGCATGCCTGGCGGCACGAGGCCCGCGGCCCGCGGCGAGCGCAGCATGCCCCACGTGAAAGGAATGACGCACCAGATACCTCTGGATGCCATGACGCATCCCTGTCCCTGCGCCCACCCTGGACCGCCGGCCCATGGACCAACAATGGGTACCTGTAGATCTGCTCTTTTCATCACCGTGGCTGGTGCCTCGGCATTGTATCGGCGGTGTGTCACCACTAGCCCAAAGTTGGATGCATAGCATATGTCGCATCACCACCCCGGGCGACTACCATTTCGGCGTATATACGGCGCCACGCGGACTGGCACCGGCCCCGGGCGGGCGCGCGCGAGCTCGGGCTCGGCAGCGTGCAACTGCGCACTCAGATTGGGGCCGGGGTCTGGCGGGTCGGGGTCGGGGTCGGGGTCCAAGTCGGGGTCGGTGACGTGGTGGCTGTATTCGTCAGCAATGGTGCGAGGCGGATGTCGTGCGGACGCTCGCACTCACACGCTCGCACGCTCGGCGCGCGTGGGCCGGACGGCCAGCGCCGTCGGCGCTCCGTGCGTTGTGCGTGAGAAGATTGGTGCCAAGCGCTCAGACTCAGCACAAGCGCTCCGATCCGTCGCGTCGCGCGACCCCGACCCCAACCCCAACCCGCGCGAGCCGCCGGTCCGCGCACCGGAGATCCAGCATTTGCCGGCCCGGCTGCTGGAACAGAGTTCAGAGTTCCGGGAATAGGGCATTGTCGCAACTCATCCCATTCATGTCCGAGACACCGACTGAGACAGGTGGACGCTGAGAGACATTCCCGCCATTCATGTGAGACATTCCGTGAGATATTCCGCATCCATTGATAAGAGGCGGCGCGGGCCGCCGTTTCGTCTTACTGGATTCGTCACACGCGCTTGTATGGCTCGGCGATGGCGGCGCGCACGGCGAGCGGTGATGGCTAGACGATCGCCGCTGCCACATTCACTGGAGAGGCCAGAAAACATGCTTGTTTTCGTGTTGTGCACAGACCACAATTAGTCGACAATATCTCTCCACTTATCGCTTGTATATTGCACAAATGCTTGAGACAGATACTCTTGGCCAAGCTTTCCATTCATCATGCATTACAAACCCACTCCAACGGGCAAGCGGGCACTGCTCGCCGCACTGCCACTCCGCACCCCAGCGCCGCAGCCGCAATCACCGGCACAAGCCGGTGTTGAGTGAGACACTACGCCGATCATCCCCAAGCACGAGCACGCGATCGCCTCGCGACGCCTAGCGACGACTAACGACGACTAACGACGGACTTGACTAACACAGAGTCACCAACACCGACCGCTACCATTGTCCTTCGCCAAGTGCCAGCAACACCTTCTGCCGCTTAACCTTCCGGCGCCCGACCCACTTGATTGCCCCTCCTGATTCCAACCCGCGTCGGGCGCTGCCTCCCATGATCCGGATCCCCGAAACCCAAAGTAGTGGTACGCACCCACGCCCCCGCACTCTTCCAAGCCGCCACCGTATTACGACGCTGGCCAAGACATCCCGCCACGACTACAAACAGTCCCCGATCAGCCCGACATGTATGTAACACAGGCGCGTTCCTGCGCCGCCGCTAGCGATGGCAACTGGGCTGCAACACAAAGCCAGGTACGGCCCAGCGAATGGGCCCAGTGCCTCTTGGTGCCTTCGCATTCGGCGCGGGCCGACGTTCCAGCTGCAAACTAAGACGCCGATGACGTTAGGCGTCGCAGGCATGGTCTGCCCGTGTCAAGTCTCCCCCACCGTCGTCGACTTCTGTCACTCTCAGCGGTCTCGTGGTCTCGTCAACGACCCCGCCGCCCACCCCCCACCCTCACCTCCACCACTCCCCTCCCCACAGGTTCGGCGACGGTGACGCGGGGCGGGCTCGGATGGGCGCCCCGTGACCGCGGATGTCGCCCACTTGAAAACAACCGCATGTGGAGCAGAGTCAGTGGTTTAACCGCCGGGCTGCGGGGTATACGCCGCTTTCAGAGGGCCCCATCCCGGTCCCCGGGGCGCAGGCATACAATCGCTAAGCTAAGCGCAGCATACCCCTCTTTCAATCGTGCGACGCAGAGCGCCAAGAACGCTTTTGGCATTAGGCATGCCCGCATACATGGCCATGGCGGCTTCGCATCGCAAAGCGTGGGAACAGCTCATTTCGAGCTTGGTAGCCGACTGAATGGGGGCGCGCGCCGAAATCATTCCCAGGCACAGGTGATGGCAGGTGATCGGCAAATCGCCATGTTGATCCCCCGCACTGCACCAGCCTCGGATGTTAACGAGGCGCAAAACGCAGCCGACAGTCGGTGGCCACCGGCCAATTCATCGCTTCACCTGTGATGGCCATAGTCTCGGCACAACTACGCTCCATCGGCATGGATCTCGGTGGTCTGGCCAGCTGCCCGGATCTCGTGAATGGGCCTTCAGATAGCGCAGCTGATGTGACGGCTCTTGAGACAGCCGACTCGGCGCATCGGCAGAATCATTTGGCCCGCGGCACAGCTGTACAGCTGACTTGGTGAATGCTGTTGTTCTCTCCGTGACATGCGCGTGACGCATGCAAAATGCAGGATATCGGTGCTCACGGACTGGGTGGCAACTCGGCACGCCACCGATTGTTGTTGTTCTGCCCAGCGCATTCCGCGATCCCCTTCGCTTAGACGCAACATGCCTCGCGGTACCTCAACGCAAACCTGTGACCTCGCTTGACACCGAGCTTGACCGAGCGTCGGTTCGCTTGGCATGGATCGCATGGAGGAATGCTGGGTCAATCTCGCTTGCACGACGCTGGGGCCACATCCAGTCATGGCGCACGCAAATCCCTCCACGATCGTTGGCGCTGCCACCGCTGCCACATACCACACCCCGCACCCCACAGTGTGCACTCCAGTGCAGATCAATCGCTAGCGCCACAATGCCCTTCGCCATCCACAGGCACAGTTATGCAAACCCCGTCGCTGAAGCTCTGAAGCGTGCCGTTGTGCAGTGCAGACGACGATCATGCACGACGCGATCGAGACGTGGCTCTCACACTATCACTGATGGCCGACTAACAACTGACTGCACAATAGGCCCGACATCGCCCACTCCTTCATCCCGTTCATGTCAACAAGTTGCCGGCTCCCTGACCATCACGGTATGACTGACCCACTCCCCCGAATATCCAGCACGGCCATCATCCCGCGCCCGTTATCAGGGGGTCGCGGGGTCGCCTCCTTCTTGTCACAAGCACGGATTCCCACGCCATCTGTCGTGCGTCCCTGCGCATGAGCCACTAGTTGTAATGCATCTGCGGGCCAAGTCGGAGCACGGTGCGTTCTGATCATCACGAACTCGTCCTTACCATCGAGGACGGCGCCCGGCGCGCCCGGGCCGTGGGAATCTCGGTGTGTCGGATAAAGCCGACCGGCAACTCGGGATCACGCGTATCTCGCCGAGTTGGATCATGGCGCGGCGCGGGCTCTCGTCAGCGCGTCCAAGTCAGACGCGTTGCATGCATTGGTGGCTGGTGGCTGAGCCGAGATAGCTTCCCACGGAGGGCGTCGCAGAGCTTTGCCGTTATTTGCCGCCCCAGTCCCATCGGCTGTCGGCCCTCGGACTGCTTCCCCAACGTTGGGAAGATACGCCGCGGTCAAACTACGGAACAAAGTACCCCCACGTTCCGTTCAGGCGAGATCGCGCGTGTCCGACTTCCATCTCCTCGCTGATAGACGCGACCAGCCCTGCAAGTGAAACTCTGACGCCCGCATCCGCAGACTGACCCCATCACACATCACATCCCTAACCCCCTGTCCTAGCTGCGCATGTATGCCCGTCTAACTAGACCGACCCGGACGGGGCGGCTAGCTTCCTGGGTGCCCAACGCGTGGGTGCGCCCGGTGCCGCGCCGAGTCTCAAGCATAGGCCGGGCCGAGCCAGAGCACGTATGTACGTCGTTGGCGACGCCCGCACACAACGACACTTGCCGGGAGACGCACAGGCCTAGGCCATGGCCCATGCAAAGTTTGCGAGTGCACAAGTCGCGTCAGGAAGACAGTCGCGTCAGGTAGATCTGATGATCCCATAAGCGGCGGCCTTGCTCTGCTGCCACACGTCGACCCGCCACGCCAGCGTCGCCATCTCCAGCTCGCAAGCGCGTAAGTTGTGGCCGGCGCGTACTGCCAATGTGAGACTGCCACGTATGGCACACCCATACCTCTCCACGCGTCCCGTATCCTGCTAATCGCTGACCCGGTGCACAGCAGTTCCCACGCCACTCCGTTCTTGCTGATGGCCGCGCGGCCAGCCGGAGGTGATGCGGCACTCGCCGACGCATAGCACGGCGATCAGGCCCGTGCCCGTCGTGCCCACGCATGTGGGCGCTTACGACGAGTGCGCGAATGTTCCATTAGAGCCCACTGCGACGTCTACGTCATGGTTCTCTGGCACTCGTTCCCACGTCGGGGAGGGTGCGGGCAGCGGTCTGGCGGTCGGGGGGTCTGGGTGGGGAATGGATCGCACGCTCGCAGATCGCATGCCACAGCGATCGGATCGACGCGTCGCACTTGCTCTCGTCATCCGTGCCATGGACCGTGGGAACAGGCCCAACCCGCAGACCACAAATTCACAAATTCACAAATTCATTGAAAATGTCGCCACTCGAAAACCCGCGCGTTTGCACGGCTGCACCGCCGATCCGCCGACAATTTGCCACCCAAGACTCTCCATGTCGGATCCCACCCACATCGTCAGAGTGGGGCGGAAAGGGGCAGATGTTTCACTCCTCGACACCTCCACCGGTCGCTCCTGAACACGCGATTCGTCTCACACCACCTTCTTCAAGGCCATACCAACACCACTCCTCCGCCGCCCGCTACCTCCCCACCATGCCCGTCCCGCCAGCCTCGCGCGAGCGCGACGCGGCTCCCGACATCGGGCCTCTGCTTACGTCGCAACTGGCGATCGAGTTGTGCGTTTTTCCCTGGCGCCGCTGACTCTAGCGCTTCGCTCCGCGCCCCCGGCAACTGTCCCACAGGAATCTATGTCGTCCCGACCGTCGAGACATTCAGCCGCTGGGCCGGCGTGTTCTTCGTTCACCGCGGTGAGTGTGGCGCAGCCTTCTTTTGGCAAATGGTGCGAGGGCAGGCCCAAAGGAGTGAGGCGCGAGCAGGAGTGTCAGCCCGCTGGCCGATGCTTCCCCTCGGCTCTCACAGCCGACATGCGCAGTTCGGCAACACTTGCTTGGCTAAGCAGCTAACATCAGGCCCGTATGCCGGCGCGATCCTGCGCTTCGCACTCGTGTTCCCGCGCCAGTATCCCCGCGTCCGCCCGCAGGTCTTCTTCGAGAGCGACGTGTTCCACCGTGAGTCAGATTCCCACTTGGCGGTCGCACGCGTCTCTGGTACCCGGGTCCGCGGTCCGAGCGCATTGGCGTGGCAGAACCGGCCTTTGTGAGGCCTTGAAAGATCAATGGAGGTGCGGAGGATCGGGCACGGAACACTATCGGATCCGTGAACGGATCGAGCGGAGGCGCGAGCGTTCGCCCCAGCGCCCCCTCGCAACGACCACCTATTCTTGTCCGAAGTGACGGGCGGAACCACTTCCACGATTGAGAGCAGCGAGCAGCGTTGAGGCAGTGCTGTGGCGCCTGAATGCGGCGTCGTGTGGACCTGCATCTCTGTGGCGTGGCCCCAATCTGGACGGCGCGCACCGTGCGTCGGCCCATCGGCCACACAATTCGAGCCCCGCAACATTCCGCCACACTCGGAATGGAGCTGACTCCAGCCATGGTGGACCCGAAGACGCGAGAGTGGCACCCCCGCGGCAAGCTTGCGCAGTGGAAGCCACACGTTGACCACGTCGCTAATCTCCTGCACGAGCTAAAGGCGAGCTTCAAGAGCCCGTCGCTGGCGGCATGCAAGGAGAGTGAGGCCGTCAACAAGCAGGTCTGGTCGATGTACCACCATTCGCTGCAGACGTTCTTGTCTCTCACCGCACAGCGGGCGAGGCAGACATCGACCAGGCACACGCTGTTCGATGAGCCAGACTCTCGTCGTGGGGCGTCACCAGCAACGGCTCATGTGCCCACTGCACCCGCCTCGCCCCAAGTCGGGCGTCAGCGCGATGACCAGCTCATCCGCTTCACTGAGCTGGACGACCCAGCTGTCCAGCGCCTTTATGCCGACCTCCGCCGCTCGCTCGGTGAGCGCTAAATCCACTTGCATGGCAATACATCTGCGCAGTCGGAACGAACGCAGACAACTCGATCTTCCTCTCCTCGAGGCATATCCTGCATGATCATAGACGACCCATAGATCCACAAGCTGTATATAATGTAATTCTATGTTGTCGCAGAGGCTCGTCCCGCTGCGTGGACCCTCTGCCTCACTACTTGGGCTTACGTTGACGTTGGGTGGCAAATACGGAAGCTAATGTGTCAGTCTGTCGGTTAGTGGCGTTGCGGTATGACGATCGCGGGTGATGAAGCACGTTGTGCAACGTTTCACTCTTCACTCCCATCACAACTCCCTTCTCCGCCCCCCTTCGGCGCATGGTACCCTCGGTGACGCCCGTAACGTCGCCCGCGCGCGCGCGCTTCGGCAGCCCCGCATCGGCGTCGACGGGCTCGCCCTCGAGCCCTGCATTGCGAGATCGCGTCGTCCCACCAATAATGACGCGCGGCTTGCGCGATCGCCAACGCTCCCCTGCCACCAGCTCGACGGGGCAGGCAACGGGTTCTGCGCTGTCACTCCCGCTCTCAGTGCCGACGTCAAGCCGCACGCCCCTCCCGAATCCCCCCGTGTCCGCGACCGCGCCGCAGTCTTCCGTCACGCATCGTGCGTCAGCGCCCGCATCACGCCTCGGGGTGCCGGCGGGGCTGCTCGTCCCGACCGACCGGCCACTCGACGAGTTTGAGACTCAATGGCTACCGCGGCTGGGGCGGCTACGCGTCGATCGCGAGGTCGAGATGCGCGGATACGCGCTGTACGGCATCCGATCATGGTGCGCCATCACCTTCCCTCCCCAACATGTCTGACAATAGGTACCTTTCGCGCACGCATTGGTCGTTCACCATTGTGGCTTACACAGGCAAGCCGACGGATGTCGTGAGTTGTCCTATGACCACGCTCATCAGATCTCCTGCTACGTCTTGGTTCCCGCTGCCGACTTGAGTGCGAAAGTCGGCGCCGACGAGCTGCGCGCCGCCACACAGTTGCTCGCGGGCGAGACGCGCGCGCAGCCCCGTAACACATCCGAGGGCACACTCCTTGTATCGGCGCCCGCAGCGCACGGGCAGGACATGTGCGTCACCTAGCGGATGGGCTGACGACAGTTGGCCGATTCCCCAGGGCGACCTGCGCGAAGCGTGGCCATTCATTGTGCTCAACACGGCGCTCAGGCGGCTTGGGTGCGGTGGACGCGCTGCCATGGGAAACGATGTGCCAGTCGCCGCGGTCCGCCGCAAGTTCTACGAGTCGTACCGCATGCCCATCCCAGGCGGCGCGCAGCTGCAGGGCACGGCGAGCCGCGCAGGATCCCCGCCACAGTCACCGGTTCGGGGACATACACACTCCCATTCTCGTTCCCAAAGTATGGGTCACACGCAACAGCGCAGTGTTAACTGGTCACCGCGGGGCAGCAGCCCCGCCTCACGCCCAAGCTCTGAGGAGATGCCGGCCACGACGCCCGCCGCACTTGAGCGTGACCCCCTCATGCTTAGTACGGTCGAGCTCGTCAAGCTCATACAAGGCGCGCTTGCGCTGTGGGGCTTCTACGGGACGTTCCAGGAAGAGCTCGAGCTTGATGGCCGCTTCTGTGATGACACTAAGGCAGGCATCGCGAAGTGGCGTGCGGCTATGGGCATGGAGCAGGAAGAGAGTCTGAAGCTCGAGGTGCGTTGGTGCGTGGGCTCGCTGACAGGCAGAAAGAGACAAGTGGAGGCTGTATTGACCCACGCTCCCTCGCCGTTCTCCTCAGCTCGGTTACCAGCACACGGTACCAGCTCGGTGTACTCAACGTTGAGAGACTCCCCAAGGACCCGTTCCACAGCGTACGCCGCTTCCTCGCCGCGTGGCGCCACTACCAAACCAGCGTCAATCCGGGAAAGCCCGCGTCCCCCTTCCTCTCAGTGCAGGCCATCCGTCAGCTGAACGGGAGCTATGTCGTTGAGCGCAAAGGGCATGCGTCAGACGCACTCAAGGTCCACCGCCTACTGCTCTCGGGGGTTGGGAGTGTGGCATCTGGTGTTCAATCTGTCGTTAAGGGGGGTGGTGCCAACGACGAGGGTCTGCCTGCCCGCAAGCGCGAGCAGCACATCCGCTTTACTGGCCGCGACGAGGACTCGGGAATTAGCATGATCGTGCCATCCGGCGCTGGCGCCGCTGCGCCCGACGTTATCACATCCGACCTCGAGGCGTACGTTAAAGGTGTCCTTAAGTCGCGCGAAAAGGACTGGGACATCATGGGTGCGCGCAGAGTTGCTGAGCTCTGGAGTGGGCGCATCGACGACGGCCGTGCTCACTCGCGCTTGAGAGTGTTCCGCCGTAACAATCAGCCAGTGGCTGATGAAGAAGACGACGCATCCATAAACATCGGCACCACTGCTATAGGCACGATCCGCGGAGCTGCAGGTGCTGCGGCTGGCGCTGCGACGGGGGCGATCAAAGGCATCACCAAGGGTGGTTTGCGCGTTGTCGGGTGAGTTGTTCAGATCGGCGGCGTGATGCTTCCTGTCGATCGCCGAGTCGTTGCTATGACTCTCACGGCGTCTCCAAGTTGACCTTCCCTCCTTTCTATGTCTGCATTGCTGACCCCCAGCCGAAAACAGGCCACATACGACACCTCGGACTCCGAAGGTGGCAAGCACGCTCTAACCCCTGCGCAGAGCTACGCGCGCCACAACGTTCCCACCCTTGTCGAACCAGCAGAAATGGATCACCAACACGACGCCAACAATGGCGTTTCACGCTCACCGTCCCCCGGTATGACCCCGTCGCTCGCTCATCAGAGTATGCGCTTCCCAAACTCAGACTCGGACCCCGGATTGGATCGCAACTCGACCCTCGTCCCGCGTAGACGCTCTGCAGCGACCACCGTCCGCTCAGCTGCATCTAACTCGAACATCGTTAGCGCGAGTACGTGGAGCGCACCGCGCCGGGTAGCTATGCTTCGCACCGCCAGCGATGGCGCCGACGTCATTGTCGACAGCAACGGGTTGGAATGGGCCGTCGCCAACGGGCACGGCACGGGCAAGCGCATCGAAGGGAGTGTCGACTCGGACAGTATAGCAGCGACTCCCGTGGATGACGGGACCGCGGTCCGCGAGAGCGTCAATCCGCTGTGTCGCAGTCACTCTTTACAGGCCGACCGCAGGGTTTACCGCAGTCGGCACGTGACTGAGCCGGCGCAGCTCGCCCTCGACGTTGCGATGTGTGAGGTCGTATGGGAGCTGCGCAAGCGTGAGCGGATGCTGGCGAAGCGTGCGGATGACATGTCGGTGAGCTCTGTTCCATATTCCCTGAACTAACGCTAGATTCTCGAGCGTTCAGCATTTACAGGAACGCAAACGCTCTTCGACACGGCGCGCATGCGCCGAGAGCGCATCGAGGAGCTGGAGCGCGAGGTTGCCAAGATGCGTGACAAGCTCAGCTATACGGCCGACGCAGCAGTCGGCAGCGACAGGGCGCTGAAGTGGGCTTGCGAGAAGATCATCCACACGTTGACTGACGACGTGAATCGGTCCGAGTTGAGCTGGCAGCTGCGCGAGCTCGAGAAGCAGTACGAGACGATGCGCGCCGAGAAGGACAAGAGAGACGGCGCAAGCGACGCGGGGAAGGAGCGCCCGTGGTGGAAGCTCTGGGGTTAATGTACAGTATGTTATAATCATGCATTTGTGAGCGGTGCGTGTCCTTGGGAAGATCCTAATTCGGCCGGGGAGAGATGGTGGAAAGCGAGCGGATCGCTCGGCGCCATTATATCCTCTCGCTCGGAACCCATCGGCCTCCGCTCCCCTCAGCGGGTTTTGACCCGTTTGCTGCGTTTCCTCCGGAGCCCGCTGAGCTCGCCGACGCTTTCGCGGACTCGCTCGGTGCGCTGCTCGCTGCCTTGGCCGCTGTCTCGGGTACGTCCCCGAGGCCCAGATTGGACCAGTCGTCGCGGCCCATGAGATCATTGTCCATACGGCATCCGAGGTAGTCGCGCGCTTCGGGGCGGCATGCACCCGAGTTGTTCTTGTTCGCTTTCAGACACTTCATGTACGAGACCATGAAAGACTTGCACTCGCCTACGGTCAGCGACTGTGAGAGGGGCCGGCGTAAGAGGGATACAACGGAGCCGACCATGAAGCACCTTGCGCGATTGGTGACTGGAGATAGGAAGGGGTCCACGGCGCATACGCCGCACTCACCATCGTGGTCGAGCGGGAAGCTGCCGCGCTGAGGCGGCGACACCTTGAAGGTGTCAGAGAGGGCTCCGGGACGGCCGAAGGACATGGCGGATCAACAAGGACCGAGAACGTAAGCGGATCGTAAAGCGTGCGGAGCGTAGAGCGGCTGGGATGCGGAGATGCGGGGAGATGGTGAGATGTTGAGACGGAAATCGAGACTTGACGATGACCGACGCCGAGGTTCGGAATCCTTGGGTCACCTCCACCTGTCTCTTCACAGACCAAAAAGTGACACTTCTGGACGAGTTAGGAATCGAACCAAAGACCTTTCCAAATCCTCAGGAGACCATTGGGGTCGCCTTGCGAATGGAACGCTCTACCAACTGAGCTACACGCCCTGGGCGTCACGTCATCACGTGGTCTGGGTTGCGGTAAGTCCCGCTCCATAGGCATTCTCCACTCCATGTCACGTGCTTCTCCCAGTGTGGAGGTCCCAACTGGCCCGGAGACCTATGACGCCCTCTGTCAAGGCAACCTCACCATATCGACGTCCCACATTCACAAACATCATGTCGCTGCGCCTACGGCAGGCGATTCCCGGTCGTCCGCGCCGCGACTCACCTAGCGCGCTCAGCGCCATCACCACCCCGCGCGGGTCATACTTTGTGAGTATGATAATGCCGAAAGCCCACCTTCCCTACCTCACCCGGCCTCCGCACCTCCCCCTGTCCGCTCCGCATTGTGGAGCTTCCCTCAGCAGCTAACATCAGGTGTATCCATCGTCCTCAAATGTGGTACTCCTTGACCCCGATGGAGATTTGCACGACACTCTCCCGTTTTGGGATGCGTTGCCGCACCGCGCCGGACCCTCAGGGAGCGCGCGCGACGTAGGGGGCGTGCTCGCACGCGATGGCATGGTGAGTGATGGGTGTTACTTGCTTGCACCAGCGAGCATTAGGACGATAAGATGGTGTTGACCTGTCCTGATGCTGGGTCCCATGTGACGATCCGGCGCCCGTAGAGGCACGCTGACTCTAGGTCCTCGCGTGGAGTGGCTCACATGTGGTACTTTGGGCTCCCCAGCCCAAAGGCTGGAGCGTTCATTCTACTATTGTGGCCAACTCTCCCGTGGCATCTCTCGACTTCTGGGGCGGCACGCTCGCGCTCGGTACGCAGACAGGCGTCGAGTTGTGGCGCACGGAAAACGCGGAGGTTGTGGTCTGGGATCGTATTTGGTCGGGCTATACTGATCCCTGCCCCATGGTAGCCCTGCCGCCGGAGAAGACCCATGTTGCGTGGTACTTCCAGGTGCGCTGTCGTCGACTCCTCAATCTGACAGCAGGGCGGTCGCGAGATCTCTATTCAGGCGTTTGGGGCCAAGGGCATTACCGGTAACCCGCAGAATCTGCGCCAACCGCGTTCGATCGAGTGGCTCGGTTGGCGCACAGTGGCAACATCCGACGCGCAACTATATGTCGTCACTACGAACGGTGTCTTACGCATCTACGCCACCGTTTTGGACGACCCGACGTGGTTCCAGCTGTTATACGCCATGGACTACAGGGCGTTCCGTGACGCCGGTACTCTCCCTCCGAAAGGCAAGGGCCCAACCGAGTTCGGGTCTATCTGGGTACCGGACGGGGCGACGCTACGACAAGCTGCAAAGAAAGCGCACACAGCCGCGGGGCGCGCGCGACTACCAGCTTCTGTGTTAAAGATACTCGACGCGCTTGATCAAGATGAGGCGGATATCGCGGTGTGGTTTGGGCCCAGCGGCGAGGTAGTGCTTCGCTCCATCGTGAATCTTGATCGGGCGCCGCCGACTCTTATCAAGTCTGAGCCGCTCGCATCGTTCGTCACCCGCGTGGAGGCCGCATGGTCCAGCCGCGGATGTCTGCTGGATGGCAAGACGCTCTTCCTAGCCTTCCCTCCGTCCAACACGCAGCCGGACATCTCCACCCTACGTGTTTCTCTCCTGGATCTCTTTGCTGGGAGTGACGAGTCGTTCGAGGCCGCTGAGCCTGCCGATTTTGAGACCATGTCCGTGCTCATGACACAGGACATTGAGCGCTTCGTGCGCACACCAAATGGACGCGGACTTCTCGCCATCGGCGAAGGAGGTGAGATCGGCGTGTGGGAAAAGCGCCGTCTTGGCAAAATGGCGCGAAACGAGTCCAAACTCAGAACGACCTCACTTGTCGGCAAGGGGCAGTGGATGGCGCCGGCCTCGCCAGTACTCTACGCGATTTACGCTAAAGGGCGTGGAATTGCCTCCTACTACAACGACCCGAAAGAGGGACCACGGGTTGTCCTTCAACACCTGGACCCTGGTGTTGGCGTCCCGACTGAACCAGTCGTCATGCCCCACTTCGCGCCAAAGAAGGACGACAAGATTGAGCTCCTGCTCGCCCTGTCCGACATTGACGACGGTTATAGTGCAAGGAGACGGCGAACCCGTCGCGCTGTCATCATCGCTGTGTCCGCTAGTGGAGAGGCGTGGGTGTGGCGCATCGACCCACCGCCGACCTCACCACGTATGGAGTTCTCCGAGTCACCGTTGGCGCGACGAGATTCGCTGACTTCGACGCCGTTGCGCAGGGGTACTATGCTTCCTGACTCCCCACTAGGCTCACCGCAAGTCAAAGGGAGCGTCATGTCTGGGCACTCGGGGAGTGGTGTGTACCACAGCGAGAAGCCAATAGTGACCCTGATCTCGCACTCACACCTCCCTGTCGTGGATGGGAAGAAACCGCGCTTCATTCTTCCCGTCGATCCCATGGGGTGGCACAGCTCCACGATCGACTGGGAGACTGATACGCCGCTTCAAGACATGGTCGTGACACTTTCCGAGAGCGGTGTGCTCGAGTTCTGGACACCGCGATTAGGCCAGCACCTCGCCGGTCAGAGGCGGAAACAGGTGAATCCACACACCTGTACCGATGGACAAACTCCTTCTAGCGGCTGGACCCGCACGAGCATCGTGAGGACGGAGAAGACGGACGTCTGCTTGGCGCGCACGAGTTCGCGGAAGAAGACGGCGCTCGTATGCGCGCTCGGCGACAAATACGAGGTAACAATCTGGGACTCGAACGTTTCAGAGTTCTCCACTGGGCTGGAGTTGACGCACACATTTGAGTGAGTGTCGCGGTGTCTGAGAGCTTGCTGATACACAGCGGTGGCCATGTCATTCAAGACCTCGACTGGACGACGACCTCTGACTTGCAGTCTGTGCTGGCTGTAGGCTTCCCGCACCAGATCGTGCTGGTATGCGAACAACGCATGAGCTACGTCGACGTCACTCCAGGCTGGGCACCGTTCCTTCACGTCGACATGCGCAGGTACACTTCCGTGCCGATCAACGACTCCGTCTGGATTGCTGGTGGATCGCTCGCTGTCAGCGCTGGCAACCAAGTGTATATCTTCAGTCGATTCCTGGAGCAGCCGACATCCCCCTCACGATCGGGACAGACCACGCCCACTAATGCAGAGTTGGACAGCGAGGAGCCAGAGGACATATTCCAGCTGATAGCACACGAAAACGGCCCGCTGTTTGATTTCCACCCGACCATGCTCCACCAGTGTTTGATGTGGGGTGAGTACCTGCACGGCGGCAAAGCTTACAGAAGACAAAATCGATCTCGTCAAGAGTATTCTCGTCACTCTCGTCAAGGACATGCGTAAATGTGAGGATGACGGACGGCGGCGCCTCATCTACCAACGTCTGGACCCTCTTGCGTTCCACCAGTCAAATGCGGCCTTGCCCCAGAAGGTCACGAAAACGGACTACACAAGCCTCTTTTCGATAGCACCTCCAGAGGAACCGGTCGCGGACGACGAGTTCACGGAATCGCTCGTTCGAGAGCTGGTCGAGAGACTGGACGGTCCTGTACTCATCCCGCTCGACCAAGGCGACAAAAGCAGTTTGGCGGCGTTGGCGCAGGCCGTACTCGAAGTTGAGGCCTCGCGGCGCTCTCTCGACATTTGCGGCCTGCGTTACCTGATCAGCATCCGCGCGTTTGCGAACCGTGACCGCCGCACCGCGCTCAGCGGCTCCACCAGCCCTCTTCCTATCCCCATCCCTCAGGAGGGGCTGCGACCCAAGGCTCACGCGCGTATCTCGTTCCGCAACATCGTCTGGGCGACGCACAGCGAGTCCCATCACGTTCTTCTGCAGGCCGCGACGGCTGCCACGGATAATCACAAGATGATGTGGGAGGATGCTGCACGCTTGGGCGTATTCCTCTGGCTGAGAAGCCAGGAAGAGATCCGAGCCCAGCTCGAGGTAGTCGCGCGCAACAGGTTCATGGCGGAGGAGGATCGCGATCCAGTCTCCGCGAGTCTCTTTTTCTTCGCACTGGGCAAGAAGCAAGTGGTGCACGGCCTCTGGCGCCAGGCTCCAGGTCACAGGGAACAGCAGATGATGCTCAAATTCCTCGCCAACGATTTCACCCTCGACCGTTGGAAGACGGCAGCGGCTAAGAATGCGTATGCTCTTCTTAGCAAGCAGCGCTACGAGTACGCCGCAGCATTTTTCATGCTTGCCGGCAGCCCCAAAGACGCCATCACGGTGTGTCTGCGCCAGCTGAACGATTGGCAGTTGGCAGTGGCGCTCGCACGCGCCGTAGAAGGCGATGGTCCATTGCTCAAATGGATCCTTACCGACACGGTGCTCCCCATTGCCTTTGGTGGCGGACATCGGTGGTTGGCGTCATGGGCTCTGTGGATGCTTAAGCGCCGCGATCTCAGTGTGCGCGTGATTGTTTCTCCAATGGAGGAAGTCGCGGCAGCCTATGACGCTGATGCGCTGAGTAGCGGCAAGCTGGCAGTGGGGCAGCCTGACAATGATGACCCCTCGCTCCTGCTGCTATTCCGGCACCTCAGGAGCAAAACATTGCAGACGGCAAAGGGTACTAGCGAGATCACGCCGGTTCTCGAGTTCGACTTTGTTGTCCACAACGCCAGAGTATTCTGGCGCATGGGGTGTCATCCGCTCGGCCTGGATGTACTGCGCTCGTGGTCTTTCGAGCGCGCATGGTTCCCGCCGCCGAAGCCTCAGAAGCGACCAGAGCCCATCAAGACGGACGGCGACGTTGGAAAGGCCCCGATCTCACCTGCGCGTCGCATGTCTACGTCGCCGTATACACCGCGCCGCAGAAGCAGTTTCATGCTGGCCCGACCAGCCGGGCGCGAAAACATGCTCATGGATATGGACGTCGTGGCGGAGGGAACTGAACCTCCGACGCGTCAGCCCTCTCCGACGCCAGGGAAGCATGCCCGGCCACAGCTTGCCATATCTAAGCCAGAGGAGAGCCCCAAGAGACCCAGTTTAATGAAGGGGTTGCGCAACGACGTCGAGCAGGGCGCAGCTGTGTTCGACATGGACTCATTCTTCGCCCCCGACAAGGCGAAGGGCGTTCCGGACCTCGTCACGTCCCCCGCTTCGACGAGCGGTACAGCTACACCAGCTTTCATCACTGCGGACACCACCCCGCTCTTTGATGTCCATTTTGCCGACTCGTTCGGCGGCGCCGCATCGACAGCGCGTAAGCCCGATAGCGTCAGCCCCGGCAGCCCCAGGAGTCGCGCCTTATCACCGGGCACTAGGAGCCCGGTGGGAAATGCGCTCCGAGGACAATCACCCGCCCGATCGGGTGCCGGCACGCCAGCCCACAAGGGCGCAAACTTCATGAAAGAGATGATGGCTGGAACTCAGGCTGAGCAAGGCCAAACTGAGTTCAGCTTCAACAACTTTTTCCCAGACACCTTACCTGCACCCGCCAAATCGCCTGCGCCCCCTCGGCCGGCCACGCCTCCACAGAAGTCGCCGACGAAAACCTGCTCCACTCCGTCCTCACCCACGGCTCCCGGCCGCCCTCTCTCCAGACTTGGGGACGGGGACGATGCAAGCAACGGGCTGAAGACTGAGGAGAAGGCTGACAAGGAGGAGAAGCCCAAGGGTTTGAGTCTCATGAAGGAGACGAACGCCCACACGCAGTCGGCGCAAGGGGGCGCAGAATTTAGCTTCGACAGCTTCCTCCCACTCGAGCCTGCACCCAAACCCGCGCTAAAGAAGAATGAGGTTGAGATCACTTCCAAAGACGAGGCTGAGCCCGGAGCCGGAATCAAGGCGGAGTCTGACTCGGAAGAAGTCCAGTCCCCGTCTGGCAAAGCTTCTGACGCAGAAGAACCCCAAGGAGGAGCGAACGACGCGTCGGCGGCACATGAGCCGGAGGTCAAGCAGCCAAGTCCCTCGTCTTTGTCATCACCCGACTCTGACTCGCCTAAGACGGCGGATGCCGATACTATGCCCAGCCCCCCGGAGAAGGAGAGCCCTACGACCCCCGACACTGAGCCCCGAAAAGGCGCCAATCTAATGAAAGATCTCAACCCTAATGCCAACGCAGCCCAAGGGGGTACAGAGTTCAACTTTGACGATTTCGGATTCTAGACGCGATGCGAGGCGCTCTTTGCGCATTATATTCTGAGCATGGACACGCTCAGGTTCCATAACTCGCAGTTACGACGCATTTGCTTTTGGTTATCTTCATATTCCGAAGTCTCTTCTCACACAACTGTCTGACCGTGGGTCCTACCATTCTCATTGTCAGTACACTGCCCTCTATCGGTTTCTGCATGAGCCATGGGCGCCTTGGCACTCCCGTCTTCTGAGCGAGATTGCTGGGACGCGCCGTTCATGCTTCATTATTCGGAACCTGCCCAACTTGAGGCCCTCGTCGTTAATTTTGGTCTCTTGCGTCCTTCATAAGAGGCATCGTGGGTGTCATCTCAAATTATGTCTTGCTGCCTACCAGCGCCCGCCATGGTGTCCCACGCCGAGGTGTCCGCCGTGGCCTCCCAAACCGCCACCTGGGCCACCGAATCCACCGCCACCGAATCCTCCCTCGTGGCTGTGGTGACCGCCACCAAAGCCACCGCCAAACGCGCCGCCGCCATGCGGGCGGCCATGGGGTCCACCCATCATGCCCATACCTCCGCCCATGCCGCCCATACCAAATGGTCCGCCGCCCATGCCGCCCATGCCACTCATTCCGAAGGGGCTCATGCTGAAGGGGCTCATGCCGCCGCCCATGAACGGTGGTGGACCCATGCTGTGGCTGTATCCGCTGCTGCCACCGAAACCGTAGGTGTTGTGGCTGCTCTTGTTCTGCGGTTAGCGAGATGGTGAACACAGTCCAAAATGTAGGCGATATGCTTGTTGCAAGCCACAAGATAGCCTCCGCAAGCCACACCAAACGCCTCACGACTATCCATTCCGCCATTCCCTGCCTGTCTGAGACGACCCACGGAAAGGAGCGCGCCGAGAAGCATCCCACCAAGGCTTCCATCGCCGGCCATTCCCATGCTGCTGGAATGGCTGCTGCCCATGCCCATGCCGCCGCTCGACCTGCCAAGCAGCGATCCAAGGCCGCGCTCGCTGACCTGCTGCGCAGCCTCCGGGTTTTCGGCGGCAAAGCGCTCCACGACCTTCACCGCTGCCTGCGGATCCTCAACTTGCTCGGGGTGTGCCTCGCCGTCCTTGGCAAACGGGTGTGTCCACGTTGTGGTCGGCGGGTTAGTGGTTGGGTTGATGTAAAACCAGGCGTCAGCCGCTGAACAGAGCGCCAGCTCACCAAGTGTGATAAGTGTCGTCCCACTGGCGCACCCAGGGCGCGGGCAGGTCGTCAGACTGCTCGGCAGCGTTGGGTTTGGAGTCAGGCATGAGGTGAGTGAAGATGGGCAAGAATGGTGGGCCACCTCGCTGAGAGCTTATGAACTTTCTTCAGCTGGCGTCCCGCAGGTCATCATCATACCCGACAGCAAGTAGAGCTAGCGGGAGCGGGCTGCAACAACAAGGGCCAGAGCAGGGAGCGGGCCGATACCGGAAGATCCAATGGCCGCTTTGGGTGGGGTGACTGCTGATGGCATTGTCAGCCGCAGGAATCGATGCCGGAATGATGGGCCTGATGATCGGCGTCGAGGGGACGCGTCGATCAACACCGGAGGATCGTCCGGATCACGTGAGATTCGCGTGTGCTGCAATGGAACTGAAAGAGTAAAACCATGCGCGTTTCACGCGGTTTACCCGTGGGCGTTGCCCACCGCTCGGTGCTCGGCTGAGGAGAGCCAAGCCACCGGCTGACCAGATCCGAAGTGGAGGTGACTTCCATCACGGTTTCCTCGCCAATCTTCGTCTTTCACTTCTTTCACTTTAACCCCCGTGCTCTCTAGCGTCTCCGCAGCGTCTGACCACCATGTCTCTCCGCGCCAGCACTCGCCCTCTCTCTGCATCGCTCAAGGCCTCGGCGGTCCGCGCCTTCTCGCGCCCGGCCTCGGTGGAGCTTGTGTACGACCTCTTTGAGCCCAAGGAGGTCAAGCACGCCGACCAGAGCCTTGTGCTGTGCCACGGCCTTTTGTGAGTGCGATTTTTGTTCTCCTTATTCTGCTTCTCTCCCTCGTGCTGCGTCATGGAGAGGACGGTTCCGTCAGCCTGTCGCTCGCGCATCTTGGTCGGCGCTGACTTACAGTGGCTCGAAGCAGAACTGGCGCTCGCTGGCTAAGGGCTTTGCCCAGCGTCTCGGGATGCCGGTCTACGCGCTTGACATGCGCAACCACGGCATGTCGCCCGCTGCCACACCTCACGGGTACGCCGACATGGCCGCCGACATCGCTGCTTTTGCCGAGAAGGCTGGCATCAAGAGCGGAATGAACCTCCTCGGCCACAGCATGTGAGTGTAATCGGGACTGCAGAGCGAGGTCGCCAAGACGGGACAGGACGTCTCGGAGCGGCTTCTGCAGTGAAGTGGACTTCGAGCTAGCTGGGGTGCAGAAGAACCCACAACACCATCTTCTCTCCTTTCTACCGCTAACAGAAGGGGTGGCAAGGCCGTGCAGGCGTACGCGCTTAACAAGGAGCTCAACGGCAACCTCCGCTCGCTCATCGCGATCGACATGTCGCCTGCCACTGGCAAGGTGGCGCCGATGTACGTACTTCCTTACTCCCTAGTGCAGTACTCAGCTGACGCCCGTCAAGCTTTGCGGAGTACATCAGCGCCATGCGCGAGGTTGAGGCCGCGAAGGTTTCGAGCCGCGCCGACGCCGACAAAATCATGGAGAAGGTTGAGCCGGTGAGTCGCGTCGGGTTTGTGGCGTCCAGTTGAGCCTAAATGCGGCGAAGAGATCCGGGATCTCCGGCAGACTCCGTTCCAATCTCGGTCTTCTGCCGTTCTGCCTCACATTGCGATCAATAACCGGCTCTCAGCACCCTCAGCTGACGACAGGACGCTGCCACGCGCCAGTTCCTTCTTACCAACGTGAAGAACGTGGATGACGGCAACGGCAAGAGCTACCTTGCCTTCCGCGTGCCGCTCGACATCATGGCTAAGGAGATCCCCGAGATCGGCGGCTTCCCTTACTCCCCTCCTCCTCCCGTCAGCGAGACCTCGCCCCAGTGGGATGGCCCTACGCTCTTCATCAAGGGCAAGAAGAGCCCGTACATCAACCGCAAGAACATCCCCATTTGCGAGGCCTACTTCCCCAACATGCAGCTCGTGTCGATCGACGCTGGGCACTGGGTCCACGCTGACCAGCCCGGGGAGACCACCGAGGCTGTCGCCAAGTTCATCGCCGGTGAGCGCGTTGACAACCGCGAGTAGAGACTGCGAGTAGAAACGACGGGTAGAATAGAAGTAGATATGCACGGGTTTCTGAGCAGTTGCGGGTGTCTGCCAATGCGGACGTCGCGAGCTACGTGTGGTTGCGTGTGGCTTGCCTTGCGCGGATGGTTCACGTGCATCATTCCAAGTGATCAAACGACCACAAGAACGCCGCCTCGAGCAAGTATGTTCGCGATTTGGTTTGTCGTCGGCGATCTCAGCTGGACCACGTCTCTAATTGCCCAGATGTGGATTAGGACATATGCTCAACATTTCAATCTCGCCTGAATACTAAATGAAGAACCCCGGTCATCTTTCTCCGCGTCGAGGATTGTAATGCAGTGCAGCAAATCATGGGAGCCCGGCTTTTGCCACGGATGCTTAGGGCCAAGATGCTTACGCGGCTCAACAAGCTTACGCGGAATGACTCCTCGTCTGCTGATTCAAGTTGACTGAGGCGGTGAAGAGGCGGTGTGTGGACGAGTGTGGCGGTGCCTCGTGCTAAATTCTGCATCCGTACTCCCTCATCGAGAGTTCTCTCGTGCTCATCCTTGGAGCTCCACGGTCCCCCTCAGAGTCGGTTATGCTTACAGCTTTTACGCTTTGAGTGGCCTTCTCTTCACGGATGTCGTCAGGCGACCAAAAACCCGGCGGAGGGAGCTGTTGCGACGCTCAGGCCACACTGCCTTTGCAGCTCACACTGGCGTCTGCATCAACTGCCGTTTCGTATGCTGACCGTAGTGCTGTCCATGTACAACAAAGCACAGGCCCTACACCTGAGTCGCGGCGGACCTGGTGCTGCTGTCTGTCGTGCGTGGACCTGCGTGTTCACGAGTCGCCACCGAGGTGGTCGCTTTGTTCCTGCAGTCGCAAACTTTAACGCACGGCCCGCCCATTCTCGCCTATTGCATGGTCCATGCTCATGAGCATTCCTGGAAGTGCGTCAGTTGCTGACGGGACAGGTGTCGTTGCCACCTCAGCTGGATGTCGACGTGTGTGTGGGGGATACTCGTCCGTCACATCAATAAAGGCAGTCGTCGTGGGAAGATGCTTCTCTTCCTCACACGTCCGCAATGCAGCTCCCCCCACAACTCAGCCACACCTCTCAGCATTGTATTCACCCGAGTCCCCGCAAAAGCGGCATCTCGCCCGCCAGCATCACCGACACGGCGCTGGCGGAACTAACTCCCACTGGCGCGGCTTGGTACTTCCCGGCGCCCGCATCGGGGTCATACGACCCGGTGCTCCTCACCACCGCGCTCGAAGCAACGCTGGCAATATATCCGCAGCTTTGCGGCGCACTCAGCCTCACCCCGCCCAATAACGCGGAATATCCGCCCCACACAAGACGCTACGGCCGCGTCTGGGTGCGTTGGGGCGACGACGAACCCGGCCTGCTCCTCACGCAAGCCAAGTGGGGTGGACCGCTGGCGGACGTGCTTCCCATGAACAGGGGGAACGAAGCCATCTCTTCAGCCGTCATGCCGAACATCTTTGCACTCCTCCGACTCCGGCCTAGCGCGCTGGGACCGGCCTGTCCTGGCCCAGCGGCCGTGGCGCAGATCACGGCGTTCAATTGTGGCGGCGTGGCGCTGGCCCTTGCCGCCCAACATGCACTACTCGACGCGCACGCACTCGCGTACGTCCTCCGCGACTGGGGCACAATTCACACCGCTATGCTGCGCGGTGCGCCGCAGCCAACTATCACGCGGACATACGCTCCAATGGACCTCGATGCGCACGCATGCGCAGACACGCCTGGCCCACAGCTAGAGGAGCTGGCAAACACCGTGCCGCAGCTGCGCCTGGATTTCTGGGCCTACGACCCGTCCGACCCCAATGACCAAGCACCGGGGTGGTTCACACGCTCGCGCGAGCCGCCGCCTGAACTCGACGCGGCGGACAGGGCAGCCGGCCGGCCGCGTGGACCCCGGGCGCCCTTCGAGACCTGGGATGCTGACGCAGCGGTGGGTGACGCTGTCCTGGACCTCTCCGCTGCCGACGTGGCGCGCCTCTCTACACCGGGAGTGAGCGCGCTCGACGGTGTGTTGGGTGCGGCATGGCGCGCTGTCGTGCGTGCTCGCGAGCTCGACTCTGAGGTGTGGATGCATGGATGTGTGGGCCTGCGTACCCGCCTCGGCCTGCCCGACGACTTCCAGGGCGCGCCGCTCATCAATGTCTCTGCGGGCTTGGACGCCAAAGCACTCCTCGGCAATCCGGGAGCTGGCGCACGTGCGATTCGTGCAGGAATCAAGAGCGTGACGAAGGACAGGGCGTCCGCCGTCCTGCACCACATGGCGAACGCACTCGACCCCGCACGCGAGTGGAACGTCTTCGTCGGCAGCCGTAATATTCTTTCTACTAGCTGGCTGGGAATTGGCGCATATGCCGCTGACTTCGGATATGGGACTGCTGCGCGTGTGCATCCCTTCATGCCGCCGGTCGACGGAATTATTGTAGTGATGGAAGCGAAGGAGGCGGGAGTGGAGCACGGCGCCCGTGGCGGCGTGAGTCTCCGCCTCCTCCTGCGAGAAGAAGTGCTTGCGCGCGTCCTGTCTGATCCGGAGTTAGTGGGAAAGTGATCAGAGGTTATGTTCAGAGGAGTGAACACATGCAGATACAATATACAGAAATCGTAGCTTCGACATGAATCACTTGCCACAGGTCATATCCCACGAATCAGCAGCTGCGCGGCACTCGCCCAGACCGATGTTCCACCAACGCTGAACGGTGCGGGCCACAGCCTCGCGCGCCGAAACTGTCTGCGTTTCCATGCTGCTGTCAGCAAAGTTTTGCACCAAACTTACGTCGAGACCCATGGCTCGAGCGAGGCGAGATAGTGGAATCCCTGCATCGGCTGCATGGGCGGGAAGCTTGCCGTGGGGTGTAGGACGGGATAGCTGTCCCACACCTTGCGATGGACCCAGGTGGGATCTGTCCCGAAAATGTCGGCGAGGAGCTCGTTGTTGAGGCGCGTTTTGGAGAAGATCTTAACAACCCACTCGCCTGAGCCCTGATACGTTTCCCCATGGTACGAAATACTCTGGAACTCGGGACGGGCAGCGCCGGGGTTCGCACGCGCCGTCGCGCCCGTTGTCAGAATCGTACCTGGGATGGCCTCGTCTGGACCGCGGAAAAAGTACAGGGGATCCACGTGCGGGGCGGTCGTGGCGAGCATTGTAACATGCAGGCGCACATAATCCTGTTTACTGTTGTCAACTCAAGGTCGTATAAGTTCCACGCACGGGATAGGCTGAGTGAAGTGCGTTGACAGATTCTTCGCGACGGGCGAGCTGTGCCACGGCGCCGCGAAGAAGACCTCATCGTAGTCGTCGGTAGTGAACGAGTGGTTTGAGGTAACGCGGAAGCCGCGGTCACGAGACTCAATTGCGTCCACGGTGGTCTCGAGACGGATGTCGGCTCCACTGTTCTTGAGCATCGCCTCAAAGAGGCGGTAGTTGCCGCCGGCGATGGCATATGCGCTGCCGGCAGCAAGCGATACCGCAGCTCCCAGGGCGTGGATCTCGTTCAGATCGGCGCAATACTGTTATCAGCTCCTCCTCATCGGCTGGACTCACGTTGACGCGGGTGCTGGCCTCCATGATTTCGTCAACCCAGCGGGCGCGAGCCTTGACTACATTGTGTGCCCAGTCCTCCCCGGTCCGCGTCGTGAGGGCCTGGCCCAGATCCGCACTCGCAGCGAACTCGTCGACACTATCGACACTCCCACGGTTGGCAAGCCATGCGGGGTCGTACAGCCGCGCAAACTTTTTGAGGAGCGCACCGACCGCTGCGCGCTGCCGCATCGGCGAGAGCGCACCGTACCGGCGCAGCGCGGCCAGCGTGTCCCACCACCCCGACCAGCGGCCCTTCTCAGTCGACGTCGTGAACAGGAACTGCGTGCCGTCCCATACCGCCACGCCCGTGTCCCCGAACTCCGGGTCGACGACATCCAGGCCGAAGAGCTGGTGTCAGGTTGGACCTCGGAACCGACGCCTGCGCAAGCCCTCGGTTCCCACACCGCCTCACTCACTTTGGCAGCCTTGACGAGGTTGCGATTAGCCTCGACGAAGATACTCGCGCCCAGCTCGACGGGGCGCAAGTTGGTGTCGCCGTGAGGGTAGACGACCGTGCTGCCTTTGTGTGAGCGTACGCCAGGATGTCCCCTCTCCGAGCCACTCCGGCATTCTTTGGCTCTTATCGAGCCAACGGATCACCCACAGCTCATCGCATTTTCCCTGCCCAAGACAACTCACGTCCGCCAATGTAGTCCTCGCGCTCGTACACGACAATATCAAGGAGTGAGCCCCGCGGTGCCCCAGCGCGGGATTCGGCCTCCCGCGCCGCGCGGGACAGGAAGAATGCCGCGGCACTACCGGAGGCTCCGGCGCCGACGATGGCCACACGCCGCCGTCTGAGGTCTGTGGGCTGAGCAAAGACCTCATGTGTGGGCTTTGCGGCGAAGAAGACGAAGGAGAGGGGCGAGTAGGCTGTCACCGAGGTGACGGCGCGGGTGGCGAGCTCGGGCTGCTGGACGAAGAGGATGAGTATCGCGATCGTGCAGACCACGAGTATGTAGAAAGGGTAGGGGACGGGCATGCCGCGGCGCCACGGGACTGGCATGTTGTCGAGTGGGGGTGGGCGAGTGGCGAAGAGAGAGAATGAGGTGCGGAGTGAGGATGGGTGGGAAGTCGCGCTCGAGACGTGCGGTGGCGTCATGCCGGGTGCATGGTTCCGAGGGGTCTTCCTCGAAACGAGCCAACTTTATTCATGGCCCAATGGACTCATCGTCATGCTCTCACCTTGAGCATCCGTCGAGCGCAACCGGCAGAAGGTGGCAGGAGTGACTGCTCATCTTCAGCGCAAGTCGCCTGAAATAGGGTATGCATTGAACAATGATGGGCGGGTGCTCGATGCCTGCGAGTGTCCTACAAATACACATATCACATACTTGCCTAGGCCATGAACACGGCCTCCATCACCCGCGCGTCCTCCTTGTCCGTAACGCCGTTGATCTCGGCAGCAAGACTCGCGTCCGAGTGCATCGTAGGCTTGCAGCTCTTGCGTCTCGTAAGCAGCTGCACCTGCTTCTCGGCGTAGGCGTCGTAGCTCGTGGGCGGCTGCTTGGTCTTCTTACTCATCTTGCGCGTGAGCGAGCGCAGGCGTGTGCGGCTCCCGCTCCGCTCGAGAAGGCCGTCGCCGACCGGCGCCTCGCGCGCCGGCGAGCTGCCCGCAAGCGCGCGCGGAGTGCGCGGCGTACGTGGCGTGCGAGGGGTGGGTGTCGCGCGCGGGTCCTCGTGCAGCCATGAGCTGTGACCGATACTCGAGTGGTCCATGGCCGAGTAGAACTCGTCGCTGTCGTGCCCATGCCCGCTCACACTGCCGTGCGTAGATCCTGCGACGCGCGCAAAGTCATCATATGAGACCTTGCGCCCGCCAAGCCTCCTGCTCGACGTGCTTGGCCCGCGCGACAGCCCCAAGTCGCCGAACGAAGCCTGGCGCGACGGAGCGCGGTGGCTAGTTATCGACCCGCTGTATCCAGAGGCTGTGTCGCGCGAAACCTGGCGGCTGATAGAGGCGGCCGAACGCAGGTCTGGGAAAGACGTCTTGGCCATCCGCAGGTCAGGGACAGAACGCTTGGGGCCAAGCGGACGCCCATGTCCATTTTCGGATTGACTTGGCCGTCGGAAACTGTGGCTGCTCTCGGAGCGGGATGCGTGGCCAATCTCTGAACGGGCGCTGGGGCGCGCCCCGTGCCCAAGGTCGGAGCGGCTAGCCACGCGAGGGATGGTGTGGCCGAGGTCGGACTGGCTCGCCATTGGCGAACGGCCGTGACCAACGTCTGAATGGCTCGCCGTGGGCGGCCGGCTAAAGTCCACGCGGGAGGCGCTCGTCTGTCGGCTTGCGAGGTGGCCATTGGCAATAAATGGGTGCTGTGTAAGGTTGCTGCCATGTCCGAGGTCAGAACGGCTCGCGCTCGCGCTGAACATGCGCGCCGTCTGCAAGGAATCGGCGTGTCCGAGATCAGAGCGGCTCGCGCCGTGGGGAACCCGGTAAGTGGTGTGGCCCAGGTCTGAGCGGCTACCGCCGTAGACGGGATGCCGCCCGTAGCCGTATGACGATGGAGCATGGCCAGCGTCAGACCCGAAGACTGAGCCGTGGCCGTACGCCGAGTGGAAGTCATCGACAGAATCTTGGCGACTGAGGACCCGGGGCGGGAGGAAGCCATGGCCGAAGGAGTCGCGGTCCGTCGGGCTCTCGGCCAAGAACGGCTGATGGGCCGCCTGCTGCGGTTCGACAGCCCGGTGCAGATTCGCACCAAAAGTCAGCGGTGAGCCCCCAACCATTGGAATGGGAATCACGAGGGGCGTGACGGGGAGGGGCTCGCGGCTCCCATGTTGTACCAGCATCGAGTGCTCCTCCTCCATCTCGCTCCCGGAGATACTGGAGACCTTGCTGTGTGCGGATACGGCGCTCGCGGCGTGTGGGACCGAGCGGGCTGTGAGGACGTTGAGTTTCGGCGGACGCAGGTCGCTGTCGCCGTCCTTGTCTATGACGACAACCTGCGATGTCACCGAGTAACGACGGACTGACTTGATCTCAATGGACGAGCCGGGAGCCGGACGGTCGTCACCGATCGACTCGGGCTCCTCTGAGACCTCGCGCGCGACAATGGGAGTTGGCACAGGGTATGCGGTGAAAACGTCCATAGCCTCAGGTGGAGGCGTAATGGGCATGTCCGAGCCCGACTTGGACGCAGGGGTCGACTGTTTGGAGCGGGGCGAGTTGGTACGCGGCGGCGGAACGGGCGCACGAACACGGTGAGAGGCGCCAGAGTCGATCGACTTGATCGAGGACGCGGCAGGGCGCGAGCCGATGAGTCTCGCGAAGGCTTCGGCACGCGCCTCGGCAGCGGCATGAAGCTCCACGGGCGGCTCTGGCGGGGCGGGGAGATCCCGGGGATCGATAATGGGCTCAAACTCGTCCATCGAGTATGTCGGGACGGGGACACGGCGGATCTGGCTTTGTCGCTGCTGTCTGTTGGTTCCGCGGCGCTGGATGCTGCCGGACTCGTCCTTCATCTCGGCAAGCATGCCACGGACAGCCAATGGTGCCTCGACCTGCGGGACATTATCGAGACGCGTCTTGCGGCCTATCGATCCGAACGGTCCCTGTGCGGGCATAGTTGTCGCCGGCTGACGTGTGGTCGAGCGTTGTGTGCCCGATCGCCCGGAGTTCGACTTTGGAGGAACAGGAGGAACAGGAGGGACATGCTGCACGTGCTGTGACAGATCCGCTCGGCTCTTCTTACTTGTAAGTCTGCGAATGAATCCTGCGAATCCAGAGGACTTGGGCGTCGGTGGCGCCGATGGCAAACCTCCAACTGTGTGTTCGGTCGCGTCGCGTCGTGATGGCAGCATGGAAAATCGTGATCTGGGAGCGGGAGAGGGAGGACCTGTCTGAAGCTGCGAGTGAGGTTGGTATGACGGGCCGGCCGCCTTGTACATGGACGGGACGGATGGTACTGGCGGAAGCTCTGGTGGGAGGTCAGCCACTCGCCTCGGCAGCCTGGGGTCAGTTTGATTCCAAAGATGATGGACGGACTTTTCCGAAAGTGTGCTCGCGCGTTTGCGTGCCTTGTCTGCGGCGCGGCGCTCCCGGAGGTCGTGTAGAGACCGCGTCAACGACAGACGCTTGCTCTTCCGCTTGTCGACGTTGTCGGTGACGGGAGGTGTCGGCAGAGGAGGGGCGGGAGTGGGCGATGAAGCTGGGACATGGAATTCGGGGATGGAGCGTGATGGCACACTAGGCATTTTGCGGATCGAGCGAACAGAGGAACGCCCCCAAGAACCCCCTGTGGCGGAGGTGGCGCCGGGCCGCGCAGGGGCCGCACCCTTGGGAAGAAGATGGCCATGATCATCGGTTGTGGACGAGTCAAAGTCGATGCTGGTCGCGTAGGGTGTCGTGAGCGAGCGGCCCTGGTCGTCGGACTGCTCGGTGAGAACCGTGTGCGTGAGCGACGGCTGGCTGGGCGAGCGCTGCAGGTCGAAGCGAAGCTCGCCACGGGCGTCGGTTGCGGCGCGCAGAGACATGGCGGGATACCGGTGCTGGTGGGATGGTGAGTGAGAGGGGCCGTGAGGGGCGAGATTGAGATATCTTGGAGGCTCGAGCACTGTTAATAAGATTAGCGAGTAGACCACGGGGTTGTGCAGCTGTGCAGATGCCGGCGTCAGAGGACAGGGAGAGTCGCGGCATGGCATCATGCGAGGCGGTCGCCATCGCGCTCGAGCCCACCCCGATCTTTCTCTCGAGGCCTCATAAACGAGAGAAACAAAGGGGAGAGGGGGAATGAGAGCTTGGGCGGAGAGAGGAGAGAGAGAGGAGAGAGGAGGGAGGAGGGAGGACAGGGGATTGAGGATGAGGCCAAGAGTGTGCGCAGTGATGGCGATGGCGTCGAGAGATCGCGAGACGCCGACGCCAACACTCGGACCTCTTCCTTACCCCTTCACGCCTATGGCCCCCTTGACCAGCAATGATTCCTCCCCCAGTATCCCAGTCCCATCCTCATCTCCTCATTTCCTCACCGCCTTACCCCCACACTGTCATGTTTCCGGCGCACACACACTACGACACCGTCCACACCGCACACACCGCGCCGAGGAGCAGCGCGTCGGCGGCGTTACTCACAGTTCACAGGCGGGCACCGAGATCGCACAGACACAGCAGACACGGCTGGTGGATGATGCGAAGGTGGGTCGCGCGATCCGCGATGTGTTCGCGTTGACGGTCGCGTGCGTGGCGTGCGCGATGTTGTGTTTGTGCTTGATGCTGGGCGCTGGACGGCGGGCGTTGCAGGTGACGAGGTATGAGTAGAATAAACTCTTGCTCCGAGTTCAAGATGCTCGAGATGCGTCGTCAATGTTTGACGCAACCGGTGCACTCTTGCTGTACGAGGAGTAGCATCGCATCCAGCAGCCAGCGAGCGGCGCTCGTACGTGAACCTTAGCATAGGAACCCGCACCCCGCACCCCTTCGCGCCTCGGCGCACGGCCGATTGCCCAGGCGATGGGCATTAGCGCATGCTGCCGGACATGCCGTACTCGGTCGAGTCTGGCCAGAGCGTGGAGGAGGGGATGGTGGGGAGCATGGGGAGCATGGGGAGGAGGAGGGTTACAGATGAGTGTGCCTTGGTGGGTTTGGATGTTGTGTTGGACGAGACGGAGCGCGTGGGGGGTGGCAGGGACGGATGCGCAAAATCCCCTGCAAGAGGGGCCGAAGGGGGGTGTCTGATGCTACACTCTTACGGCATTCATCCGGCCCCTCGAGGCATGCTGGGTCGTTGTCGGTCGTCGTCGTCTGTCCTCCATGCACACAGGAACAGATCAGGTCGCCCAACGTCGGCAAGCCGAGCATCCTCAGATGCTCAGCACTCGGTCCGGTCGAGACCTTGAGCGCTTCAAACCATACTCAAACTAGCTCCCGGATGGCCAGAGGACAGAGCCAGTATCATCTGGTGCGGCCATGCGGCCCCTGCTGCCACCACCTGGCCCTCTTTCTGTGACCATCTGTAACACGAGGGGTTGCTCCATAGATCTATTTGCTGCCACCTGCTAACTGCCAATGCATTTGGCCTGCTCCATCCACTCATGCTTGCCGCAGTAACGCGACTCATGTGGGTCCCATCCTCGATCCAGTTACGGGTAACGAGCAGCCATCTCTCTCGAAACATGACGGGCTCGTCATTGCCAGGTCCAGATTGCGATTCGGGACATGACAGTGACGTCCTGGCAATCCCGACACGACGATGCAGAAAACAGATTGCCATAGCAGCATGCATGCAGTATGCGACATGCAGCAGTCTGCCGAGAGATTCGGGTCGAGAAAAGACCTCGAAACCTTATGCCTGGTGCACAAGATTAGGGGACGCGTTGTTTATCTGCACTTTTTGTTCCACCGCACATGCGCAAGTCTGCTCGCTACTGTAGAGTTTGACGTTCAGAGCCATCGCTTCCTCGGTCCAGATCAACGTGCCTACCCCACTGACCTTCTGCAGGCAGCAGACAGCACCCCCCTGTTCTCTCTGACGACCAGTGGCATTGCTGCATTGAGACCAGGTTATTTGAGAATCTTACGGCAATGGAGGGCCAGTTGTCATCAGTCAAGAGGTGCCTCGCATCAGATTTCAGGATTCAATGTCGGCCACTCCGGTATTGCTAGCGTTGCTCGATCCTCCGATCCTCCGGCGAACTCATGTGGCGTGGAATTAATCCAGACTGGATCAGCCTCACTGACCTCGCCACAACCACCTGCCATCTCCTCCTCCAGACATGGTAATTCCTGCATGGTACAACTAGGTGACTGTGCCTCTCAACTTTACGTGACCCCCGTTCCCACTCCACTCGACTATTCATCACTCACATGCTCTCATCTCAACCGGGAGAGATGCTCAGTCATAATCGACGAGCGCAAGCCACTCCTCTGATACTCTGCGAACGAGATCGAGGGACCCAGAGGTCGTGTAGATGAGACAGAGGTTGTGCGCAGACTCCCACGCCAACGAGCCTTGACGAACCAGTTCTCGCTCCTCTGGCGTCTCCTCAGCATCCATACGTGCCCGCACAGACGTGAGGACCCTCTCGTAGTGGGTCACCGCCAGATGCATGACACCTAAAGTTTGTCAGACAGGCCCAGCGATGCTTTGACTCACCCAGTCCGTGGAAAGAACGACCAAAGTTGTATTCAACTTCCTCCAGAGACTCGGGGTCCTGCGGACTGAGCTTGCGGTACCTTGAGAGGAACGCCAACCCCTGTCATGTTAGTCGATACACTCCATTAAAAGCCAGTCGTACCTGGGCAATCTGGTAGTTGCGGTTGTCCGACTGGCGGTTCGTGGCTCGTCCGAAGAAAGCTTGGGCGATGAGGAAGCACAGGAAGTGGTCGTGCGGGTTGACCTCGTAGGCCCGCATAAAGTAAACTATGCGTCAGTCTGTTGCTGCTAGCGGGGACTAACATAGAGCACTCTGGTAGCTCCTGGTGGTGAGCATGTTCTGGCCGTACATAGTATTGAAGACCGGCGAATATTTGGTCGGCTTGGGGCATTCGTGTAGAGCCTCCTCTGCTAATGCGGCAGGGCCCATGGAATCGCCGTCACCCTCGCCATCACCATCGCCGTCACCATCGATATCTCCATCACCCTCATCGTCGTTCAGGTCTTCGTCGTCATCTTCGACGATCCGTCGGCGCTGCGGTGTTCCATGGGGAGTGTCATCATCGTCCTCCATGTCGTGGTTGAGAACGTCACCCAAGCGGCGAGAACGGCCCGACTCGAGAACCTGAGCCCAACGGCGGTGACGCCTGTTGTAGCGAAGCTTGACTCCTGCGACAGCCTCGTCATAGATGCGCACCTCTCGGTGGAGGAACTTCTGCAGCGCCAAGTTGTGCCACACCCCTTGGCCTTTGAATCCGCCACCGAGAGCGGCAAGCATAAGCAACATCGGTTCAGGCCTGAATTGGTGCAACTGGGCGAGACGTTTGCAGTTCTCTGTGATTGCCTCGCCTTTTCGCATGCGGATACCACAGGCTGACATTAGCATTGCGAGCAACTGCTGAGTTACTCACCAACAATTGTGAGGCGCAGAGCGATCTCGCAGCGACGAGAGTTGAACAAACCTGACCAGACGACGTGCTCGAGAATGTCGTATGCAACATCCTCCTCACCCTTGACCATCAAGACACAACAGTACTTGCGTCAGCAACAGTACTCGCCTAAGCTACCTTGATTGTCAATGCAAGCCAATCCTCGGCTCGGATCCCGTAGAATTCAGTCTGCCGGCGAATCTCATAGTCGATGCGCCCAGGCTCAATTGGAGTGTCGTCCTCCAAGCCCATGATGCGCTCCAGACGATCCTGCATTGCCTGCGCTTGAGATGTCAGGTCGCTCTTTGTACCGTATTTGCGGCGCTTGGGGATGCGAACAATGCCCTTATCATCAGCCTTCGCTAGCACAACGCCACTCACTCGATTCTTGGTGAAGTTACTCCGGGCGAGGCGGAAGGTCTCGATCATGGTACCGGCGGAATGGATGAACTTGTCCAAGGCCCACGGATCGCCATTGTTGATGCCCTCTTCGGCCTTCTGAACGTCGTCCCAGAGGCCTTGCATGGTGTACGCAGCCTGGGTCTCTAGCACTCTTTTGTTCATCCTGCCTGCCTTGCCCTTGTGCGTTCCGTCGCCGCTCGGCAACGAGTCGCCGTGCTGCAATACCCGCGCCACGATCTCCAGCGCCTCCGTTTTGCGGCCCATGTCTTCAAGGACTGCGGCAAACGCTAGCAACACCTCCGAGTCGTGCGGTAGATGATCGACCGCTACTAAATCAGCGCGCATAATACGCTTAAGACTTACCCCACTCCAAACTCTCATGTGCCTCGGTGTAACGCTTCAGCTGATGCAAACATATGCCCATCTTGTACACAACTCTGGGGTCCTCGTCGAAGTCGGTGTCGGTTTCCTGGAGGTCAACAAACCTCTGGGCGGTGTAGGAACTCACACTCCGCTCATGAAGGGCAAGCCAGCACTCTAGAGCCAGGTCGAAGAGCTGCCGCTTCATCAGATTGTCACCAAGTTCTTTGAAAAGGCCTTCGTGTACTTTGGCGTCAAGTTCGAGGATCATGTTGACATGCGGCTAGGGTCAGCTGCGGGAATCCGGAGCGACGCACTATCGCCATCTCCGTCTGGCCCAAGCGCAAGCGCGCGATTGCGAGCAGATGCCTGAGCTGTACGTCGAGCTCATTTCCCCCGTTTATGTTATTGGTTTCCTCGTCTGACCCGTCGCCGTCTTCACCGCCCAGCCTCTTGGGAGCGTACTCGCTGTCGTCCTCGACAGCATCCCACGCCTTCTCGAGCTTGCGCCCCTGGAGCCAACGCTGACCGCGGTGAATCACATCGATCGCGGACTCAGTCTCGCCAGACTTGATCAGATAGTTGACGTACTCGACCACATGCTCGATCTTCATCGTGTTGTCTGGGTCTGAGGAGTCGGCAAACGTGGCGTAGTGATAGACAAAGGCATCACCGAAGACTGTGGCTCCGAGACCCCACTGATGCAGCTCGAGGATAAAGGGGTGCACCTCCATGAGCATGTTGAAGTCGCGGAGGAAGGTCGGGTCGGCCTTGTGCAACTTCTTGATCGCTTCGGCCGCCTTCTTGGCCTGTCCGCTCTTCGTATACATGGTGATGAGCTGCCACAAGACATCCACTCGGTTAGGATCTAAACGTAGCAGTTTCCGATAGCAGTACTGCGCCTGTGTCATGTTGTCTTCACTTCTGAGATGGTCAGCGAGTCTTTGACAGTCAACTCACCGGAACTGATGCGCCAGTTCCGCCCAGGTGCCGGCGTCCTCCTCGATGTGAGCGGCACAGAACTTCATCTGCCGCGCCGAGACAACGTCCCCCATCTCCTCAAATACCGAGGCGAGTGTGGTCCAGGCTGCCTGAACCATGTTGTCATGACGAATGACTTCTAGGAAGAGGTTGATGGCCTCGGTGTGGTTCTGCGAAATGTAGGCCATGTTGGCGCGCCCGAGTAGTTGTTGGACCTCGTACGTTGGCCGATGACCACGATACACTCCGCCACGGTAGCCCCTCTTTCCCCGCTTGCGACGACCGCCTTCATCCAGAAGGTCTTCCTCGTCCAACGCAGCCAGCTCCGCTGAGAAGTCCTGCGTTGAACCGACAGCTCCACGGGAGACCTGAGCAGCAATGCGTCTGTCATAAGCACCGTGCAAAGCAGAGTCACGCACTTGAATACGGCGTCGTCATTCCCTCGACTCGCCGGGTCGTCGCCTTCATCATTCGCGACATTGTTCGCCTCTTCGCCTTCCTCTTGATAGTCATCACCGCTGATGGCTTCATCTCCGCTCGAATCAGATTCCTCATCGTCTTCGGCGCGCAAGTTTCGGATGATGGCCTCAATACTGTCATTTGCTCCGTTGGATGCAGCAGCCCACTTGGAGCGCGTCGAACGGGGCGGCATCGTCGATGACAACGAAGCTAAGGAACGGCCTGGGGCGGGCTGTTCCAAGAGACTCTCGCTAGAGGACCCTTCAGCCTGGGAGGAGAGCTGCAAGGCAATTGTAGTGTTTCCGACGTCTGAATCGCTGCAATTATATGTACGATGAAGCGGAGCAGACACTCGGAGGGCGGATGCGATATCGAGTCGAGGGAGGGTAGAACGGTGACGCCAACAGGAATCCGAACTAGCCATGTGGAGGTGGCCAAACACGCGGAGATTGTGACTCACTCCGTGGTAATGGAGATCTCCAGAATCTCAGGGTTCTCATGAGTGAACTACTTCTGATCCCGAAAATCGTGAGAATTTGTGCTTAACGCCGACACTTCGGAGAGATTCAGGGAATGGCCACGCGACGAGGGCGAGGAGATTCTGCCTGGTGCGAGGGTGCAGGGTGGGAGGGGGGCCGGGGGGCCGGTCGACGACGTTGGCATCTCGCTCGTTGCTTGCTTCTCCATCCCTCAAAACTTCAAAAAAGATGTCTCACCGCAAGGTGTGTACCGCTAGCTCGACGCCTCTAGGCCGCATCCACGACGTCGCCCGCTTCCTCGCGATCTCTCGCGCGTCCGCTCGGCCCAAAAGATCGCAGTCTGAGGGAAGATTTTGAGCGCCGAGAGGGATTGGCATGGACGGGCACACGACGAGGAGGAGCGGTCTGGAGATGGTGTCGAGTACAGAGTGCGCAGTGCTAACAAGCAGTACGAGGAGCCTCGTTCGGGTTCGCTTGCCTTCCTTCCCCGCAAGCGTGCTGCCAAGCACCGCGGTTACATCAAGTCGTTCCCCAAGGACGATGCGAAGAAGCCCGTGCACCTCACTGCCGCCCTCGGCTACAAGGCCGGCATGAGCCACGTTGTCCGCGACCTCGACCGCCCCGGCTCGAAGATGCACAAGCGTGAGGTCGTCGAGGCTGTCACCGTTGTCGACACTCCCCCTATGGTTGTCGTCGGTGTCGTCGGCTACGTTGAGACCCCCCGTGGCCTCCGTGCCCTTACCACTGTCTGGGCTGAGCACCTCTCTGACGAGGTCAAGCGCCGCTTCTACAAGAACTGGTACCGTTCGAAGAAGAAGGCCTTCACCCGCTACGCCAAGAAGCACTCGGAGAACAACGGCGCTTCGGTCGCTCGCGAGCTCGAGCGCATCAAGAAGTACGCTACCGTTGTCCGTGTCCTCGCGCACACCCAGCTCTCGCAGACCGGCCTCAAGCAGAAGAAGGCTCACCTTGCCGAGATCCAGGTGAACGGTGGCTCGGTTGCCGACAAGGTCGAGTTCGCCAAGAACCTCTTCGAGAAGACCTTCTCGGTCAAGGAGGTGTTCGAGGAGAACGAGTGCATCGACGTTATCGCCGTTACCAAGGGTAAGGGTTACGCCGGTGTCATCTCGCGTTGGGGTGTCACCAAGCTTCCTCGCAAGACCCACCGTGGTCTCCGCAAGGTCGCCTGTATCGGTGCCTGGCACCCGTCGAAGGTCATGTTCTCGGTTGCTCGCTCGGGTCAGGACGGTTACCACCGCCGTACCACGATCAACCACAAGATCTACCGCATCGGCACTGCCACCGACCCCAAGTCGGGCTCGACCGACTTCGACCTCACCGAGAAGTCGATCAACCCCATTGGCGGCTGGTCGCACTACCCGGACATCCGCGGCGACTTCGTCATGCTCAAGGGCTCCATCCCCGGTGTCAAGAAGCGTGTCGTCACCCTCCGCAAGGCCCTCCGTGTCCACACCTCGCGTGCTCACCTCGAGAAGGTCCAGCTCAAGTTCTACGACACGTGAGTTACTTGTTATTCAGCTGCTCCTCTAAAAGCACTTGCTGACGTATAGCTCCTCGCAGCTCGGCCACACCCAGTGGCAGACCAAGGAGGAGAAGGCGCAGTTCCTTGGTCAGCTCAAGATCAAGAACTAAGTCACTCCTCTTGGGTGTTAGAGGGCTGGAGATGGGATTGGAGACGACTTGGGCCCCAGCGGCATTGTACACTTCCGCCGGTCTGGGCGTCATGGCATGCACTAGATACAGTGCTAAGAGGATGTGCGGTGATTTGTCATATGCTGTCAGAGCTGTGTTGCGTGTCGAGAACTGAGAAACGGAGGTTGAAGTTGTGGTTCAGAGTGAGAAGATCGCTGGTGATGGTCAGCCACGTGGATCTGCTCCCGGGATCCATCTCGGATCGCCTGGACTTTTGATCGTAAACTCGATCTCAACCTCAACTGACCACTTAGAACATCGACATGGGCAGCTCGGCCTTCATCCTGCGGCACGTGAACCGCCGCGTTGCGGCCGCCGAGGCAGAGGTGCAGCGCCGCGCACTCCTCTCCGTCGCGCGCAACACGACTCTTCCCTCTCACGTCCGGCATAAGGCGCAGCTCGCGCTGTCGCAGCACAACGGCGGCACCGTGAACGGGCGCATGAACGCCGTCAAGAACCTCTGCAACGAGACGGGGCGCGCCCGCGGTGTGCTCTCCAAGTACGGGCTGTGCCGGGTGAGTCTGAGAGAGGCGGAGGGGAACATGAGGGAGGGGGGAAGAACGGGAGGGGGAAAAGGAGGGGAAGGTCGGCGAAGGCAGACGCGTCTCGGCACTCCTCTGTAGTCATCGGCGGCGGAGGCGGTCGTGTGGACTTGACGGATCATTGCTAATATCCAGTTCCAGTTCCGCCTCAAGGCGACCCGCGGCGAGCTCGCCGGCGTCCACAGCGCCTCGTGGTAACGGGCGACATGGCGCGGCGCCGCCCGCGAGACTACACATCATGCATTGTATCACTCATCTCAAAATAATGCGGGCAACTGACCGCAACAAGCTGACGGCAAACTGAAGGTAGAGGGCTTCGCACCCGCAATCGCTGAAGGAACTAACATGGCAGGAACACCTGGTAACACATGGCGACCAGCGCCGTGACTAATGAGTGTGGGCGGGCGAGGCAGAAGTTACAAGGACCCATTCAGGTGTCTCGCGGCGGGTCCGGATCCACTCGACGGGCGTCTCCTCGTGGTGCGAGTTGATGGACGCCGATCCCAAGTGGTCGTCATCCACTTCTTGCACGGTTCGCCGACCGAACAACGCGAGAAGATACGCCAGTGCCGCGACACATGCGCGCCACAACGCGTCGAATGCGCCCCGGTGCTCTGGGGCCGGGACGTACCCTGTCCACACGAGATTGGGGAGTTTCTCCTCGCGCTGCACGAAGGGCACTCTGAGGCGCCAGCGGCGCTGCGGCACCTGCGGGATGGGCGTGGGCGTGGGCGTATGCATGCGGTGCAGCTGCCCGCTGCCCGCGACAGCGGGATAGTCGTACACGCGGCTCGGCATGGGCGGCGGCGGCGTGGCTGGCGCGGAATGAGTAATGGGGAGCGCGGGCGGGGCGGGCGGAGCCGGCGGGGTCGGCGGGGGACGAGATGGAGGTGCGCGCATCGGCGGCAAGCTGCGCGGAGGGAGCGGCCACGGCCCTAGAGTACGCTCAGACCCGTCATCGTCCCGGAGCACAGCGTAGATCGTGGGCCGGGCGCGCGTCGCGTGGTACCGCTCGTGCGTGTCGTCGCTCGCGCTGCGCCGCTCAGCTGACACGGCGGCGTTGGCGCCTAACCATGCCGCCACGCGCCGGTCAGACTCCGTCAGACTGGACGAGGTGTTTGCGTTGGCGGCGATGTGCCCGGTGAAGGAGACGTAGGAGGGGGAGGTACGGCGGGATGACGGCGTGGAACCCGTCGGCGTACCAGCATGCGGCTGGAGGAGCGCGGGAGGGGGCATGGTTGCCCGCGAAGGAGACACTGGTGGAGGAGGAGAGCTGGACGCCGCAGCTGGAGGGGAGGAGATGGGCTTCTTTGTGGGCGTGAGACTCCATCGGCCCCGCCGAGGTATGAGATTGGAAGCACGCGGCGATCCCCACCCAGGCAGCCAGGCGGACGCGGGGCGGGTGACGGACAGTTCTTCGGTTTCGCATGATTCGACTGATGGAGTGGGTGCACGGCGTGGCGACACAGCGGGGAGGAGGTCGACGTCGCCCAGGCCCCACGAGAAAGGGCGGGTTGATGGCAAGGGTGGTGCGTGCCGCGGAGACGTGTAGCGCTCAGTGCTATCGGATGGGAGGGATCGGGTGAGCGTGGGTCGCGAGATCGCCATCGCGGGCGGTGGGGCAGGGAGGGAGGGATTTGCAGGTGGCGAACGGGGTATCACGAGAGGCGAGGTGGCTGATGCCGTGTCCACTGCCGAGATGCTAGGATGGCTCGTATGCGTAAGATGGCTGTAATGGGTGTGGTGGCTAGTATTATGGGAACCGGCCGTTGTTGGAGGCGTAGGCGAGGGAGGACGGGGCACTGGTGTCGAGGGCGCCCTATGTGTCGTGGGCGAAGAGGGCAGCGAAGTCGGCGGGGTCAGCGCCGGCGATCCCGGCGGTGTCAGCGTGTGTGCGCTCTCGCACGGGAGAGAAGAGAGTGAGCGGGTTTCGCTCTGCAAGGGGGACAGGGGACGGGGCATGAGCGATGTCTGCGACGCCAGTGGGGAGATGGGGAACGCTGCGGCCGAGGTTGGCGCCTGGGGCGTGTGGAGCGCCTCGGTGGACGGGAGGCGGAGGGTGTACAGGTCCGAGATCTCTGAGCCGACGACAGAGACAGGCGCGTCCGCGCTGGGCCGGCCAACGGGCATGCGCTGCGGAGGGAGGAACATGATAGCGAGATGAAGGAGTGAAAGGAATGGCGAGCTGAGGAAATCAACATGAAGTCGCGGAAAAGAGGCATGGCTGGGTACTTCACTGGCGGAACCCGCGCATCAACGCGCACTCCGCGAGTCCGACGCTCATCCCGCCCCTTCGCCCATCGGCGCCCAAGTACCTACTGACGCGCTGCAAAGATCACTTTGGAAGACCTTAGGAGAGCCCTAGATCCCCTCCTTTGAACTCGTCGAAATTGTCGCTGTGGCAGCTTTGCCTCGCACGGTGGCTCGTAAGCCCGTAATCGGTCACCCAGAAGCCGCATATTCACGGCGTGTTGAAGGTAGAATGTGCTTGTGTATTTGTTCAGTTGTTGAGGAGTGCGAGAGAGCGTGAGAAGAGCGACCTTGCGGATCCGTCCTCGATCTGGCGTCATTTCTGCCTCCCAATGTGAGTGCGTGAGTGGCAACGAAGAAGGCCGTAAAACGATCTGCATTCACATTTCAACAGCCGTCGCAACATCTGCCCCTCTCTTGAGTCCAATCACAGTCACTTCTTAGCCGCCTTGGCGACGTTGCCGCCTTCGCCCTCAGCCTTGCGCTTGCTGTCGTTGTCAAGCGGCTCGATGTCAACGTTGGGACCGTACGGCACAATGCGGAAGGGGTTGATCTGCTTGTGGGAGTAGAAGTAGTGCGAGCGGATGTCTGTCAAGGTTAGTATGTCATCCACCAGGGGGTTGGATCACCAGCAAGCGTACTCACGGTCAAAGTGGGTAGTGTCCTTGAACGCGGGGTAGTTCCAGTACAGGTTGCGCACCCAGCGGTGGAGGTGGGGGTAGTCGTGGCGGACTTGAGTCAGTGATGTCAATAACCAAGAACGTACTCATGCCCCAGTTGCACTTGAAGTGGACGTAGTAGACGGGGTCATAGCGAACCTTTCGTCAGCCAAAAGCAACTCATAAAACTCACGATAGTGGTGAAGAGACGGACGTCAGCCTCAGTAAGGCGGCCGCCGACAAGGAACTCGCGGCCGTCGGCGAGCACGCCCTCGACCCGGTCGAGACTCTCGGCCAGCACCTTGACAGCCTTGTCATACGCCTCCTGCGTGCTAGCAAAGCCACTCTTGTACACGCCGTTGTTGATGCCGTCGTACACCCACTCGTTGAGGGCATCGATCTCCCCGCGCAGCTCCTCAGGATACAGGTCAAGGTCTTTGCCCTTGCCCTCGGGAAGGAGGTCGTCGAACACCTGCGTGAAGTCGCGGATGATCTCAGAGGACTCGTTCGAGACAATCGTGCCCTCCTTCTTGTCGAAAATGACAGGAACGGTGTAGCGCGCGTCGTAGTTGGGCTCAGCCTTGAAGTAAACGTCCGAGAGGTTGTCGTACTTGAAGAGGTGGTCGATCGTCGCACCGGGGAAGGTGTAGTTGTTCTGGTCCGTCCATGCTCCCGGGGTCTCGTTCTCCTTGGACGCGGGAACAAAGTGCCACCCGCCCTCCAGAAGGTGAGGGTGAACGACCGAAACGTCTGCGATCAGTGGGTGTGTTTTCGCTTCTCGCCGAGTTCCGAGGCGCCAGAGGTATTTTGGACACCGGACATGCCAGTCCGCCTCGGGCTCGGGTTCCAAACGTACCGATGAAGTCCTCGAGACCCTTGAGCTGGCGCACAATCAGTGCACGGTGCGCCCATGGGCACGCGTACGAGACGTAGAGGTGGTAGCGGCCTAGCGTTAGCTGTCAGGACATGGGTTGACGCGGGATCGGCAATCATCGAGGAGGAGACTAACCCTTCTCGGGAGGGAACTTGCCGCCCTTCTCGATGTGGTCGCGGAACGCCGAGACCTGGCGCTTGAAGCTGCCGTCGCCCTTGGGGTTAGACCAGTCGGTGACGCCCATGGTGGATGGAGTGGAAGAGAAGCTGCGGAGTGAGACGGGGATGAGAGCTGGAAGGAGCAGGGGCGCGAATGCAAGAGTGCGGGTGCGGATGCGGGGCTGGAGAGGACGGAGATAGCTGAGGATGGCGGATGGGCGGAGAGCCATGCGTTTATGAAGAGAGATGGGAGATGAAAGAGCGGGAGGGGATCCAGCAGAGTATTTAACGGCAGAGGACGGAGCAAGAGAGAGAGATGATCACAAAGCATGCCCAGGCCTGTCAGCTCGGGGAATCTCAATCGCAGCAAGTGACGCAACCTCTGGGAGTTGATAACCCAAAGAGGCAATTCACGGAGATTGATTACTATTGCGGGGTCTCCTATTTACATTATTGTAAGCGGAGGCAGAAATAGAGCTATGACACATTCCGCCACTCGAGATGACTCCGGCCTCCACCTCCCTTCCGCTCCGCACCTCTCATCCTTCTCACCAATCGCTCATCTCGCTCACCTCGCTCGTCAACAAACATGACCTCTCTAGTTACCATCCCGGGCTCCGTCGCCCTCCACCTCCCCGCTCGTGGCGTGGCGCCCGTTCCCATGGCCCACGGTGACCTCCAGCTTACTCTTCTGCCTGCCGACCCTCCCACTCGCAAGGAAGATGTCCTCACTCTGAGCGTGGGCTCGTCCTTCTTCGTGGTCGCCAAGAACAGTCCCGTCCAGCGCATCCGCAGCAAGAACGAGCATCCCAGCTTTGTCTTTACGCCCGCGCCACCCGAGGGCGGCCAGAGCATCGGTCAGGTGCGCATCGATATGTCCGACTCGTGAGTCTCCGATTCTTTGCGCCTCTAACGCCAACAGCACGTCCCCCGAGGCGTGGGAGCGGACAGAGGAAGGATGCCGCGCACTCGAGGCCGAGCTCAAGGCCCATGGTGCGTGGGAGGACAAGGTGCTGTTCGTCGACGACGAGTACGAGACGGATGGGCCTATCACGGGTCCCAAGACGGGCTGGGGCGAGACAATCGCTAGCAGCGTCATGGGGGGCGCGTCGTGGCTCGTTGGCCGTCTCTCGGGCGCCCAAGCTGCCGAGCCGACACTTCCCACCTCTGCGCCACAGGCACCTGGAACGCGTGCTCCCGCCCCTGTCCCCGCGCCGCATCCCGAGGAGCAGCCCGCCGACCTTAAGGCAGCGGCCGCCGAATCGTGGACGCAAGTCGGCATCGCCGCGCGCGGCATAGGTCAGGCTGCCGTTCAGGTCGGCGGTGCCATCGGACAGCAGGCGCGCAGCGCTGTCGGTGGCCTGCGTGAGCAGGCACCGGCTCCCGTTGACAAGGGCGCTGCGTCGCCCGCCAAGGACGGTGCGGCCATCGCGCCGGCGACGTCGCCGTCGACGTCAGCGACCACAGCCTCTCTCGATGCGCCCTCCGCGCCCACCGCCCCAGCCGTCAAGGAGGAGGCGGCCGCCATCAAGGCGCCCAAGGCCGAGGTAAAGAAGGAGGTGAAGGAAGCCAGAGAGCCCGTTCCGGCGTAAAAATCAAAGTGTGAGGTTCTCTCCGCGCGACGGCGAAGAAGCAGTTAGACGGCAGGTATCAGGCAGGCATGTACATGACATAGCAGCGAGTTGAGAGTGTGATAAGCTAGGGTCGGTGATGCTTCTCCAATCATCGCTGGCCGCCGGCGTCGCGTGCCGGCGTGCCGGAGGGCGCGACCACTTGCTAATATTTTAAGCGGACTTCACCCTTGGCTCTACCTGCGGCTGTAGGGATTCTTGGCAGCACAATAGAGCATCACCCTCTCACCAACAATGTTGCGCCGTTGACGTCGTTGACTCGAACTCTCTCGACGATTTCGGGCTGAATCGGCGCTGCTCCCCCGTGCGCCTCCCCCATCAGCGCTCGCGCCCTCGCTACCGTCCCGCAGGTTGCGGTTGTCGTTGACCTCATCTCGTGGGCGCTTCCCACCACTCCATCCACCACTGGTTCACCATTACCCGCCCATCTCTCCCCGGCCACCGGCGATGTCGACCGACCGCATCACGGAATCGCACATGCGCCTCTTCTTCGCTGTGCCCCTCTCGCCGGGGCTGGCGGCGCGCATCGCGGGGTGGCGGGACGCGCTGCGCCTCCCGCGCGTCGCCGCCCCCGTCCCCGCCTCGAACATGCACATCACGCTCGCGTTCCTCGGCGACGTGCCGCAAGAGACTGTGCCGACGCTCCTGCGGCTCGGCGCGCGCGTCGCCGCGCGCTCGGCTCGCGGCGACCTCGTCCTCGACCGCGTGCACTGCTGGCGCAACGGCGTCCTCCACCTCGCGCCGAGCGCGACGGGCGAGCGCGAAAGACGCTTCCGCCAGCGCTCAAACTCCGGACCTCCCGTCAAAACCCCGCCCAGCCTCAATCGCTTCAAGCGGCTCTCGGTGTCGTCGCGCCTGTCGGACGAGATCGTGCCCCTCTCCATGCCCTCCACGGCCGAGTCGTCGCACTGCACCTCCCCCGTGTCCCCGCTCTCGCCCATCGGCGGCCCGCCCTCTCCTTCACCGACAGAAACGACCCTCACCTCCGTCTCGTCAACGCGCAGCGTCGACTACCCGCCCAACCCGCTGGCGGTACACGCCCTCGCCGCCGCGCTGGCCGCGGAACTTGAGGCGGCCGGCATCGGGTTCGACAAGCGAGAGTTCAGTGCGCACCTCACCCTCGCTCGACGCGCCGAGCAGGTGCGAGCACGTGCACGCTTCCGCGTACCCATTACCAGCTTGGTGCTGTACGTCTCGCGGACGGACGACCGCGGCGTGGCGTATACGGCGCTCGGCGAGTGGTTGTTGAGAGGCGATGGATCCGCTCGCTCATCCCCAGGCGAAGGCGCTGGAGACGGGGAGGAGGTTTCGCAGGAAGGAGCGGGAAGCAGACGGAGTAGCGGCTGCTCGGACGAGGTCAACGAAATGGACAGGTTGAGGCGCGAACGGCAGTTAATCGACGCCCACGCGGCCATTGACGAGGTTAACACCGCGTTGACGAGAATTCTGGGCATCTCTGAATCGGGTCCAGACCCAACACGATCATAATAGAGCAGCGATCTGTAGGACGCTTGCTATAGGTACATTAATTGCATTTACTGGCAGCTACAGTACAGGGGTGTCTTGACAGCTAGTTACTGGGCTTCACCGATGGCTGGTGATGACGGCGCCTCGTCGGCTTCGTCGTCGAGGCCCTCCCATAACTCGGGAGGAATGTCCATTTCGTCATAAATATCCGAGCCAATGTGCGCGGGCAATTCATCGGCGGGGTCGTCGAGCGCAGCACGGAGGCGTAGATCGCGGCGGCGGATGGCGGGCCCTAGATCCACAAGACGTAAGGACGAAGGCAGACAATGGATGCCGTCGCCGAGGATGACATAATCGAGCGTGGCAGGATGCGCAAACGGCGAGAAGACCAGGTGGATGCGGCGCACAAGTACCTTCTCCTCGGTTTCCGAGGTCTGATGTTGTAGTGGGTGGTCAGAGCGCGCACGCTTGGCACTACGCAGGTCGTCGTCAGACAGAATTCGTCGTCGGCCAGTGCGCGCAAGCATCAGACGAGTGTTGACTGAGATGGCCCAGACAATACCGAGGGCAGCCTCCTTCGCGACGCCAGGACTTTGACCTGAGAAATGTCTCGCCTGGGTAGCATACAGCATCGGCGGGAGAGCTTCGTCGGGATCTATGCCCTGCGAGCTCGATGGGTACGAGTCTGTAGGTCTCGTGCCGCCGTCAAGCCCGTTGGGCGTGCGCACACCAGGTAGATTGGAGGGGGTGGGTAGGCCGACTCCGAAGCCCGGCGCGAATACGTCCTTGACCTGATTGACGACAACGACGGCCAGCTCATGCGCGACCGCCAGAGCCTTGAGCCGATCTGCAATGCTGGAGAGATATAGCGATCGCTGGGCCAGGCTGGTGGTCGAGCCCTCGGTCTGGCCCCGGAGGAGGGCGGTAATGCTATCAATGATGAGCAGGCGAATCGGCTTCACCCCTCTGCCATCTCTCATCGGCCGACGCGGAGCTGTACGCTGACCGAGGAGAGGGAAATACGTTTCCCGCCGCCGTTGCGCAAGCATGGGTGGGATGACAAAAGCTAGCGCGTGCTCGAGCGCGTCGATGTCACCAACTCGCGATGTGTGAACATTGTCGAGAATCTCTTCCACTGTCGGAGAGTTCGCAATGCTCGCTCGCATGCCCTCGGCAAGCTCGGCGAGGCGCGAGGTCGCAAGGATGCGCTCCGAGGTCATGATGATGGTTCCTCCCGGCGAGAACGTGGAGCGAGGAAGAGACTGCAGCCCCTCTTCAGACTCCACGCTCGGCGCATGCGGCGGAAGCTGCGCAGCCACAGCCAACGCCAGGGTCAGATGGCTCTTGCCAGCTGCGCTGCTATCAGCTACGTTCGGACTTGCTCTGCTCACCTCTCCCCCGTGATCTCGGTGATCGCGCCCACACGTACACCGCCGCCAAGCATGGAGTCGAGAGCCGCGTCACCTGTTGAGACAAAGGTCGGCACAGCACCTTCCTCAACCTCGCTGGGCGGAGTGAGCAGCGTCGCTGCGGTATGCACTTGTGGAGCGATGGCCTGGGCAACAGCTTGCACGAGGTCCGGGATCTGTATTGGCACGCCCGAAGTGCTGCGCAGCTTCTTTGCGAGGTCGGCGGGGGCAGCAAGAAGAACATCGCTGGCGGTCGCAAGGCCGGCTGCTGTCAGCCACTACATAAACCCATGAGCGACTGTGGTGGGATGGCGGCTCACCTCGTGCACATGCGGAAGCATATTGTTGCTTAAGGCCCAAGGACTCGAGGGGAAAGGAGGAGAACGACATCAAGGCATGATCTGATTAGGAGGGGCACCAAGTGTGTGATGACGAAGAGAAGAGAGAGTAGAATAGATACAGTAGATGGTGAGTGATTGAGCAACAACAACCTGGACGCGCTCATCTCATGATCAGGCACCACCCCGGTTGACGCGACTACCCGCCGTCACCTTCATTTTCCTCGTGCCGTTTCCCCATGTACCCAGCCATCGCTTCTCTCGCAATCATCGCAATTAATAAGCTGTCACCTCTCCTTCTGTAACTCTTTTGCCCCAGGTGGTGCCGGTTGAACAGGCTTTCATATTTATGCTACTACTGCACACTACTGCTACTGATTTCTTCTCCCGCCTTCTTTTCAACAACGGCTGTTGGCACAAACGGGTATCTCGATGATGGGAATGGAGGGGTAGGAGGCTGTTGAATCCCTATGATGCAATGACGGTCATGATGTTGATACTTTTATACTTGCGATTTATTGTCGCTTAAAGGTTCTCGCGAGCCCACTTGGCGGCGTTGACGAGGTTGGTGAGCGACTCCTCAGTCTCCTTCCAGGCGCGGGTCTTAAGACCGCAGTCGGGGTTGACAACGAGGCGCTCAGCGGGGATGACCTTGACAAACGCGGCAAGCTTGTCCTTGATCTCCTGCTCAGAGGGGACACGGGGCGAGTGAATGTCGTAGACACCGGGGCCGATGTCGTTCTTGTAGCCGAACTGCTTGAAGGTGTCAAGCAGCTTGAGGTCGGCCTTGGAGGCCTCGATCGAAATGACGTCGGCGTCGAGGGCCTGAATGTGGGGGAAGATGTCGTCGAAGTCCGAGTAGCAGAAGTGCGAGTGGATCTGGGTCTTGTCCTCAACACCCGAGGTCGAGAGGCGGAACGACTCGACGGCCCAGGTAAGGTAGGCGTCCCAGTCCTCCTTGCGGAGAGGAAGACCCTCACGGATGGCGGGCTCGTCGACCTGAATGGCCGAGATGCCGGCGTTGGCGAGGTCGACGACCTCGTCGCGGAGAGCGAGGGCGAGCTGCTTGGCCTGGATCTCCTTGGAGACGTCGGCACGGGGGAACGACCAGTTGAGGATGGTAACGGGGCCGGTAAGCATGCCCTTCATGGGCTTCTTCGAGACCGACTGGGCGTACGACGACCAGCGAACGGTCATGGGGGCGGGGCGCGAGATGTCCGAAACGACAATGGGGGGACGGACGTAACGAGTGCCGTACGACTGGACCCAGCCGAGCTGAGTGAAGATGAAGCCGTTGAGGAGCTCGCCGAAGTACTGAACCATGTCGTTACGCTCGGGCTCGCCGTGGACGAGGAGGTCAAGGTCAAGACGCTCCTGGATGTCGACGACCGACTTGATCTCGTCCTCCATAGCCTTCTCGTACTGCTCCTTGGTGAGCTCACCCTTGCCAAACTTGGCACGGGCGACACGGATCTCCTTGGTCTGGGGGAACGAGCCGATGGTGGTGGTGGGGAACTTGGGGAGCTTGATGGCCTCGGCCTGAACCTTGGAGCGGACCGAGAACTCGGACTTGCGCTTGCTCATCTCGGGGGTGATGGCCTGGACGCGGTCACGGACAGCAGAGTCCGAGGTGCGCTCGAACTCGCGGCGGGCAGCGATGTCCTTGGTGTTCTTCTGGAACGCCTCGTTCTCCTCACCGTTGAGGGCAGCGGCAAGAGTGGCAACCTCCTCGCACTTCTCGTCGGCGAACGCGAGCCAAGCGACCTGCTCGGGGGTGAGCTTGGTCTCGACCTTGAGCGAGATGGGGGTGTGGAGGAGCGACGACGAGGTCGAGACGACAACCTTGTCGGCACCGAGGGCGGCGACAGCCTTCTCGGCGAGCTTCTTCGAGGCGGCGAGGTCGTTCTTCCAGATGTTGCGGCCCGAAACGACACCGAGCTCAATGCCCTTGCCGGTCGACTTGAGGGCCTCGAGGGCGGCGTCGAGCTGCTGGGGCTCACGGTTGAGGTCGAGGTGAAGGGCGGCGATGGGGAGGTCCTTGAGGAACTCGAGCGACTTGCCGACGCGGCCGTAGGCGGTAGTGAGGGTGATAGGGAGCTCAGCCTTGGCGAGCTCGGCGTAGGCCTTCTTGTAAAGGTCGCCGAAAGCCTCGGCCTTGTCAGTGACAAGGATGGGCTCGTCGAGCTGGACAGACGCGGCACCGGCATCCTTCAGCGACTTGAGGACCTCGACATAGACGGGGACGAGCTTGTCGAGGAGGTCAAGGGGCTTGAAGTCGGCGGGGGCGTCACGCGAAGCGCGGACGAGGGAGAGGTAGGTGATGGGGCCGAAGAGAACGGGGCGGGTCTCGATGCCGAGGTCCTTGGCCTCCTTGTACTCCTCGAGCCACTGGTTGCGAACGAGCTTGAACTCCGTGTTGGGGGCGTGGTCGACCTTGACGATGTGGTAGTTTGAGTCGAAGAACTTGCCCATCTCGTTGGCGGCGACGTCGATGCCCTTGGCGCGGTCCTGACGGCCACGGCCCATGGCTAGGGTTGTTAGCCGACAATCCCCAAAAACCACTTTGCGCCCTAACCTCCACCTGACCTCCACCGGGCCCCCACCAACGCGCGCGTGCGTGTTCCCTTCACGTTCCGACCTCCTTACCGCCCGCACTTTCTCAGCTCCCACCGCTACTACTCACCGAAGTAGGTGTCAATGGGGGACAGGCCCTGCTTGGTGAAGCGCTCGGGAACAACGTTGAAGTTGAACGAGTGGTCGAGCAGGCCATCGTAGAGAGTCGATTCACCTAGTCGTTGTCAGCAATTGCAATGGAGGAGGGGGGAAAGAGAAGGTCGAGGAATCTCGGCTTGGGGTGGAACTTACCCGAGGGGATGATGTCGACACCGGCGTTCTTGATGGCCTCCCAGCGCTCCTTGCGGACAGCCTGCGAGGCGGTCTGGAGCTCCTGCTCGGAGATCTTGCCGGCCCAGTAAGCCTCAGTGGCCTGTTGGAGGTTAGTACGGTCTAATGGTGTTCAAGGACCCCCTGTGAGGGGGCTGGGGAGGTAATCACCTTCTTCTGGGCACGGTTGATGCCAACGCTGGAGGAGTCAGCAAGGAGAGTCACTGGGGAGTACTCACCGAGGGTAACCAAGAACAGCGCTCTTGACGGACATGGTTGTGATTTTGGGAAAGAGTTGGGAAAAAGAGAGAGAAGAGAAGAGGAGCAAGTGGATTATATGGGGGCCTTCCAGCGTGGCAGGGCCATGAGGGGGCCAAGGAGGGGGCCATGGGCCATGAGCCATGAGCCAATCCAGAATCCAGGGCCCAGCAGCAGTTGGCTGGCAAGAGATCGGTGGTGGAACGACGGGGCTAATTCAAAAAAAGCCCAGGGTGAGTTAGGCGGGGCAGCAATCCCAGCATACCCAGCATCCCACTTGCGAAGGCGTGCTCATCCTCGCATGCTCAACTCGCTCGTGGCAGGTGGTGGTTCCGCGTGCCACTGCTAGTGAAGAGACATGAAGAGGTGAATAGGCGCCCATATGACCTGTGGCATGTCTCGGGTGCTCGCTCTAGACTCTTCCATCTGCGGTGAATGGACAGCGTGCCACGCCCATCTCTCAATGCCAGGCCGCCTCACAACTGTCCAACCAGGCGGCTCACAGTGAGGCAACAACGCGGTAATGCCCGAGTACACCATAGCTCTTCGTACTCAAGCTCACCATGTCAGGGATCCTGGCTCGCATGTTGGAAATGACGTGGAGGCGCACTGCACCTTGCGGAGAGAGCAGACTCGCTAGCTCGCTAGCTGCTAGCTCTCCAACAGGCATACAGCAGGCCCCAGGAGTCCTGACCCCCCCACCCCGCGATAATCAAGCACGTTCAATGGACGCGCCGGGGAAACGGGGGTGGGAGTTGGAGCACGATCGTCACATAACGCCATCAAAAGCCTGCTATTCGTAGTTTGCCCAAGTCTCTCCTCACCCAGCGCAAGGGCTTGCGCAGGCCCACCCATGCCATCCACTCACCACTCGTCTTATCGCGCTCGTGCTGCCAAAAACGTGCCAATCACCATTCTTCGACTTTCAACCTCGTCAGCCCTGGGTGCACGAGGCTCGCCATCGCTCTACCCGTACCCATCACCATACGCCGCCGGCTCCGTTCCGAGTCACCGGGATTCGGATACGGCCTTTGATCAGTGATGCATGGCACGTAATTCATCACGCCAGCGCTTGCGCTCCAGCGCTCCAGTCTGCTGGAATCCAAATCCGAGTCGATTTCCCCGCAATCAGCCAAGCGCTTGTTGACGCCCAAGCGCCCACGCGCCCACCTCACACTGCCATGGCCATGCAAGAATATTCTCGTCGTCACCACTGCCGCCCATCTAATCTAGGCACCTTGCATCTCGGGGCACGTCTGGTGTTTGGGTTGTGGCTGCGCCACGGAATGCTTGGAATGCAGCGCCGATCCCGATGTGCCTGCAATGGTCGCCGCTAATCTTTTCCACGGATCCTTTGGGCATGGCAGAACGAACACAGAGCTCCACCTCTTCGATCTCATAATACGGTCAAAGGTCTTCGCACGCTCTACTTGCTCGATCACAAATCGTCTCGCACCGCATGCCCGACACGGTTGGATACCGAGATGTTCACAAGCCTATGTCGCTATGGCACCAGCTCCACATCCTACATCACTCAACACTTACCCACAGAGACAGACCACGTACTTTCGAACGATTGCCTCGAGCGGGGCGGCTGGCGATATTTTATGTCACGTGACTGGCTTCTCGCCCGTCCTCGCTAGTATATCGGTTAGTATATTCGCCTCTCAGTAGAGAGACACCTTCGGGTAGATCGCGAAAGAGCAGGGTTCAACTCCCTGGCGGGGAAGAATATTTTTTGCGTTGTCCTCTTAATCGGGGTCTGGGGCAGAGACGCTTCTGCATACGAGGTTCATCATCAGCTTGATAAAAACTCGACTTCAGTCGCTGCATTGGGAGCTGAGCCGTAGGGACAATTGAGTCATGTAAGGGCTAAGTAGTATACACGGTGGCTCGTCTTTGAGGGGCAGATGATATTGCAGGACGCCTGAATGATAGATCGCAAGTCGGAGACAGCCTTGCAGACTTAGTGGGCAGGTTTGATGTCCACGATAAACAGGTATGTCCAGATGCAGAGAAACGGCCGCGGAGATAAACCGGAACCTCCTGCCCCACGCCGTAGACGCTTTAGCTCAGTGGGAGAGCGAGCGAGTGAAGCGTACAACGCCCAGTTCGTTCGGTCGTGTGTTCAATCCACACAAGCGTCATAATCAGCAGAAGCTGCAGTGTTCTTTTGGTTGTGAAGACAGGGTTCTGAAGCTCCGTCAGCTCGACAAAAGGTTGTCCATTGCAGGTGGCACCCCTCAGCACATGTGTCTACCTCACCGCCGTTGTACACAATATACATCGTTTTCGTCTTGAACAGATCCAACCTCCTAACGCGGCAACCTAGCCCGTGTACTCCACACCCTTGTCGCCGTACTTCCACTTGGTGAGAAGGACGAGGACACCAGCACTGCCACACAGGGCGGTGGTGATGGCGAACCCGGTCGTGTAGTTCGGAGCGTGGGACGAAGGCCAGAAGAATGAGCCGTAAACAGAAGCAAGATTGCCGAAGCCGTTGACCATGGCGATAGAGACTGCGCGCTTCTCGCGTCCGTCGAACATAGTCACCATCCACGAGAGAAAGATGGGGATGTTGGTCCAGATCCCCGCGGCGCCGAAGCAGATGAACGCGTAGCGCACCTGCGGCACATGCACTGTGGCGCAGATGATGAACGAGATGACGGAAAGCGTCGCGCCGCCTACGATGGTGTACGCCTTCATGCCGGTGCGGTCGGCGAAGACGCCGGCGGAGCAGCCGACGACCATGGCGACGACGTAGATCGGCACCGTCATGAACTGGAGCGTGCGGCCCGAGTACCCCATCGTCTTGAGGAGCGAGGGGAAGAAGTACGAGATGGTGCCGACCGAGCTGAGCATGTTGTACAGCACGAGCATGACCCATGTAATAGGGTCTGAGACCGAGTCCTTGAAGCCCTGCCAGTGCCCGACGCCCCTGTCCGCTTCGAGGTCGACTTCGCGATCGCTAGCGGCTACTAGGCGGGCGATGGCGAGCTTCTTCTCGTCCTCGGACAGCCACGGCGTCGTGAGCGGATAGTTTGGCAGCACGACATATCCGGCGAAAGCAATGACAACGGTCATAATACCCTCGATGATGAACATCCACTTCCAGCCGCGGATGCCGCGGACGCCCTCCATGCCCTCGATAAGCCCGCCGGCAAGCAGGCCGCCAAAGGCCCCCGACATCATGGTCGCCGAGTACAGCCCGGCGACGCGCTTGCTCATCTCCTCCGGCTTGTACCAGCACGAGATGACGAGCATGATGCCGGGGAAGAAGCCGGCCTCGACGAGGCCGAGCATGAAGCGGAACGCGACCATGCCGCCGAGGTTGGCGACGCCGACTACGGCGATGCACATGGCGCCCCACACGACCATGAGGGTCGGCACGAAGACACGCGGCGTCGAGCGCGAGAGCATCATGTTGCTCGGCACCTCCCACAGCAGGTAGCCGACGAAGAAGATGGACAGGACGAGCGAGTACTCGCTCGAGCTGAGGCGCAGGTCCGCCTCCATGCCCCCGACCTTTGCGTTCTGGCGTCAGCCATGCCGCACGTCTATCGCACCCCGATGTTCGTCCGGTCGAGGTAGTTCATGCAGAACATGACCCAGAGCATGGGGAAGAGGCGCATGTCGATCTTGCGCACCAGCCGCCGCTCCGCCTCCGTGCCGGGGAGGTAGACGTACGGCGCCTCGCTCGCCGTCTCTTTGAGCTCGTCCTTGCCCTTCTCGGCGTCCACAACCTCGACGACCTCGGCGCCGTCCGCCGCGCTGTCCTTGTTCTTGTTCCAGATCGCCATACCGGGGCCTCGTACACCTCCCATCCCCGCGCCGAGGCCTTTTATGCACTCCAGTCTGCCACTTGACATAATGTGCTGCCACGGTCGAGCCTATCCGACCCCGACCCCGCCCCCGCCCACTGCCCCAACCTGCCAGCCTGCCAGCCTGCCAGCCTGCCAGCCCGCGACCGCGAGCTGAGCGCTCAACTCTCCAGACCGTATCGCTCAACCGCGTCGAGCCGCCGTGCCGCCGTGAGCCGTTGGAACTTCCGCTACCCACCGGTCCCCGGTCTTGGGCAAGGCACGCCGCGCTCTGGCGAATGGGCAGCCGACATCGGCTACTAGCCTGGCGTGCTAGTTGCGCTGTACGGAAATAGGAGTCGGATACAAGGCGGCATGTGCCTTTCTGCGTCGATATCCGCGTCGCAAGCGAGGCACACTAGCCAGCTGCTGGCGCTGCGCTAATGCGCCACTCCTGGGCTGGGACTAGTCGGACATGTCGGGCGCTCTGTGCCGGAGTAAGTGGCACGTATGTGCGCGCGTGAACGGCGTTGCTAACGCCAGCAATAGCACGCGCCAAGGGCGGCGGTCTGGGGCAAGTGCGGGGTGCCGTGCACGGGCGAGCGGGGCGGGCGGCTTGGACGACGCGGAGAAGGGGTTGCATCAGGAAGAGTTGGTGCGGAAGTGGGGCACGGCGGGCGGACTGCCGCCCGCCGCTGTGGCTGCTGGGCTGGTGGCTTGGCACGAGTCTGGTCGGATCAGTAGTCACCGAAGCGGATACGATGTACTTGTTATACGACGGAGGGCGCACGGGCGTTGGGCGGGTCAAGCATGGGTGTCGCCAGTCGCTTTCGGAGCATGGGCGCTCGGCGCATGTTTGTCACGACGAGGTGTGGACCGCGGCGGGTAAGTTGGTGATTCTGGATGGTGGTGATGTGGCGCTTACTCTGGCAGAGCGCAATGGAAGTGGGTCAAAACGAAACTTCGAGCTCCGCCCTTGGAGTCTCAAGCGTTATGGGTATCGCGATGCCGGTGGACTCCACCGATGCCGAAGCTGTGGACATCGAGCTCGCCGGACTTGCCAATGCCGGAATGGTTAGCCCGTCGACGGCCGCCCACTACCCCCAACACAATCCTCACCCGGTGCATAATCATGGTTCAATTTTAATGAGTGCAATGATGGTTCTATGTACAGTCTCGCATGGCCCCTATGACAAGCAGGGCCGGTGCAAGAGTTTTGAGCAGCGTCGTGGCGACAGAGATACAGACAACCTCGCCCGCGAGGTGTAGAGTTCGAGTCCTGCCAGCGGACTAGATGCGCGAATCGGCGCCACGAGGTGCGCGGAACTCGCCCTGCTGACCCATCTGCTGGGCTGCGGTGTGCATGTCCCGGATCTGCGTCTGCTGCTGCAACGGGATGCTGCGGCGGGGCGGAGTGCCGATCTGGAAGGCAGAGTCTGGGCCGGGCGAGGGCATGCGGCTCGGCCCTATCGAGTCCGTCTCGGGGTACGCCTCGCCCCAGAGGTCAAGGGACGAGTCGTGGCGGCGCGCGAGGTTGGCACCGTTCGTGGCGGCGGAGAACGACGGAGGCGGCGAGCGGTCCTCGGCGTGCTCGGTCTCGCGCACCTCGTCCCATGGTACCTGGGTGTACCGGATGGGGTCGGGGGGAGGCGGGGCCGGGTCACCAGCATCATCAGGACCCCAGATCTGCAGCTCCGCGAGACACATCTTGAGGTGGCAGATCCACTTGTTGCGGCGCTGAACTTTGAGCGCACCCTGCTGCCAGTTCGACTTGTACGCAATGTCGGCGTTGAGGACCATCTTGCCCTGGGCAGGGATGTCGTCGACCGAAACGTCAAACACAGGACGGAAGTCGCGCGAGTTCTGCTTGCAGAACTTGAGCATCATAACACGCAGCGCCTGAAGCTTCTCAAATGTCGTGTTGTAGGCGACCTCGAAGGTGAACGACTCTGAAGTGGCGCCCGAGCGACGGACGTTTTCGATGACCTTGAGGGCGAGCACATTGTGCCCAATCCAGACAAACTTGCCGTCCGTGCGCTTGAAAGACGTTGACATCAGCTCCATCTTGGCGACTGTGTACGCCTTGCCGTCGATGTCGACACGGTCTCCGACATCGTAAGGGTGCTTGACGAAGAGGAAGATGCACGCGAGGAGAATCTCCTGCATGGTCGTACCGATCATCCACGAGAGCGAGAGGATGAAGGTGCCGGTTGAGGTGACAAAGGTGGAAACCTTGGTCGTGATCATGGCCGACATGATGAGGACGCATATACCGGTGACGAGGATGAGAAGAATGTCGTCGAGGCGGCGAACGGCGCCATCGAGATCGCGCATGGACGCCTCCAGCGACATTCGCTCGCGGTGGATCTCGAGCATGGTCGCGTCAATCTCGTCGCGGGTAGCATCGCCGTTGGCATCACGGTCAAAGACAGAGAAGGCCTGCTCAGCGCTCTCGAGGTCGGAGAAGAAACGCGCAATGTCGGCTATCGTGATGTGAGCAGCGCCCGGCTTGCGGAACGAATAGAAGATGCGGCGGCCGAGAGCTCTACTCTTGTTGGCCGAGGCGAGCGCAGCGGTGACCTTGTTGGCGGGCGAGTTGGTCTGGAGCACCGATGAGCCGGCCATCTCGGTGGCGACGTTGCCGAGAGCATTGGTGGTGCTCTGCGCGGCGGCCTTGACACCCTTGAGCACCTTGCGGATCGCCTTACGCCCAGCAGTCGTCTTGACCGACGAGGTGTCGTCGAGCGTGTCGCTGCGACCAGGAATGTCGTGCGAGTTCATGTAGAGCTTGGTGAGCATCTTGAACTGCCACTTCTGCTCGGTCAAGCGGTCCGCGTACGAGTCGCGGTGGAACTGGAGGGCGATGAGCTGGACAACGAGCTTCTCGATACCCCAGACGATGGTGCAGAGGAAGAAACCGAACAGGAGGTTGACGACAAGGTTGAGGTTGGCCCTTGAGGTAGACTCCTGGTCGCCCTCAAAACGACGTGAGATCAAAGGCGTGAATGAAATCCACGTGACGAGAGACCAGACGATAATCTTGCCAAAGTGGCCGAGGTTCTTGACAACGTCGGTGAATCGGCCCATCGAGGGAACGATGACAGCGATGGTCTGCTTGAACACGTGAGGGAACATCATGAACGCAGCCTTGGATGCCCAGAAGCCACACCACACGACTGTAAGCCAGATCGACCACCAGAGCTTGATGTCAGTGTGTGCCGGTGGGAGAGAAACTCACCAGCTTGACGCCCCAGATGTGGGAGTCGGGGTACGCAGTCACGCCGAGGATGCCGGGAATCCAGAGGAGAGCGAGGAAGGGGACAATGTAGAGGGCCCAGCGGAAGACGATGTTGCGGTTGATGGCCCAGAGGTACATGCGACTCAAGCGGGTCTTGCCGGCGTCGCCCTCGGCGAAGCGGAGACGCTCGTCCTTGGCATTGGCTGGGTTAAACGATTCCCACTCGGCGCTGAACTCGGCCCAACTGCCACGGCGGCTGTGGGCGAGCTTGGGACGCATAGGCTTCTCATTGGCGCCCAGGGTGTCGAGCGAAACGCTGCTAGCCGCAGCACTGTTGTCGGTGGTACCGGCAAGCGGCATGAAACCAAGCTTGCTACGGGCGCGAGGGCCAGGAGGACCAGGAGGGTTGAATTGATTCGCCACTGGAGCGGCAGACGCTGAGCGCGACGGTGGTTGCGAGCCGCTGAAGGTATCATTCAGTGGGACGGTGGTGAAGTCGACAGACTTGAGGGGAGCATGACGCTGCTTAGGGAGGTCGTGACCGGACGCGCTGGGTGGCGAGGACGAGAAAGTCGAAGGGGGATACTGGCCGTATCGCTCGGGAGAGTGGCCGTCGTAGGAGGACGGAGGGAGTCTGCTGCCGCCGACGAGAGTCTCGGTTGTATCGCCAGCGCTGTGCGACGCGCCGGGAGGAAGGGCGTAGCCTGTGTGTCAGCTGCTGCCTAAACAAGCTAAGGAGGAATGCGTGCCCCGACCACATGAGCCTATAGCCTACGCGTGCCCACCCGCACAGTTGAGACTGGGGAACAGAGGACGCCAAAAAGCAGTCGCGGCGCGGCACTTGGTATAGACACGTGGGCGCGACCCCGACTGCAGGCTTCAAGCTGGGGTAACGCGCAGTTCTTGCACTCACCCTGAGACTGCGCGAATGGGGTCTGCGAGGCGGACCGCACAAGCTGGGGCATGTCATAGGCCTCGTTGTCGCTGTTGTCGGTCGCATAGTCACTGCGGTTAGCGTCGGGAGCGAGGATGGTGCCGGGTGCCGGGTGACTGATGGGAGCGTGGGAGGGGCAAGGTGATCAAGCACAGACGGCCGTGACGTGATGCGCACAGATCGCCGCGTGTCCAGAGCAAGCTGCGCGCCGCTGCTGCTGCGGCGGAGCGATAGTCTGAGGGGTGGCTGCTTCGCGGCTTTGAGCGGGAGAGGAAGGGTGCGCGATGCGCGACTTACCGAACTATGTGCTCGCCAGCGCTCTCTTGGCCGGTGCTGCCCATCTCGGCGCGACGCATATCCTTTATGTCAGCCGCGGTCGGGGAGGTCTGGGGGCAGGGGGCGGAGGGGCGAGCGTTTGAGCGCCCGAGATGTCGACGTCCCGGGCGAGGAGGAGGGCAGGCTCAGCGTGCGTGTGTTGAGTACACGCATCGATGTGACTTGCGCGAGACGTGCTCACTCGGGCACTATCTTGATAGGAGGGATGTGGAGCACGACTGCCCCATCCCATCGCGCTCCAACGCGCCGGGCCCATAGAAGATGACTCACCGTAGCAAAAGACTGTGGGTTCGGGCGGCCTGGGTTGGCTGGCTGGCCTGACTGGCCGTGTGCGGGCCTGTTATCGCCCTGCATGGTGTAGATGGAGGAAGTGACGGACGCTTTGTGTCTAGTGTGCTCTAGTGGTGACTACAGAGGAAGAGGTGGGGGGGGAACGTTGACTGGAACACAGAGAGAGAGAGAGAGAGAGTAGAAGAGAGAGAGTGTCGGGAGACGAGACGGGCGTCGATGTCACTGGGAGATGGGAGATGAGAAAGACGACGAGGAGATGGAAGGATGAAGAAGAGGATAGGAATGGCGGTGCTGTACGAGACCCAGAATAACATTCCTCCTCTATCCAGTCTTCCACCCCCCCCCCCGATTCACCAGGGTCTGCTCGGTTCAGGCCCTGGCCCTCAGGCTGAGGCACCCCAAACTGGGGCGCAGCGGCGTACCTACCCTGTAACCCTGCCAACTGCCAGTCAGCCAGCCAGCGCTCAGACACAAGGGGTGGGGCGATAGAGTTTCGAGACGCGCCTGTCTTCCAACTGCGGCCGTGTACTGTACTGTAGCCATTGTGTTGCCCGCGCACTGCGTGTGAGCTCACCGAAGCCGAGTACTCACCGATCACCGAGTAGAGTAGCGCACTGCTTCCTGATCCTGCGGATTCAGTACTGCGAATGGGAGACTGACTGAGACTCGCTGCAGCAGTCACAAGTCCAGACAAAGGCCCCATCCCTTTTCCTGATCCCAGCCACGCACGCACTCTGGGGTGATCAAAAATACAAACCCTGTACAGTACAACTTCATCTTTCCCTGCATTATAGCTTGCAATAGCTTGCTTGTAATCATGCATTAGCCCATCGACGTCATACTCCACAACTGACTAACTCTGTACATGAGTAGTCAATGATCCAGTAATCTCCTCCAGTATAGTCTCCACAGCTCTACACAATAGGCCCACGCAATCTCCTCCCCTCTCGCTCCGCAGCGCGAATGCATCCAAATCCCATGATCCCAAGAACCCACAGGAACCCTAGAGCTACAACATGACACCTCGCATCTCCTGCACCTCTCCCTTCTCACCCATCTCCCCCGCCAACCCCGCCATGCCCATCGCCTACCCCTGCAACCGCGCGCCGAGCCACCCAGGCTTCTCCACAGCACTGCTCAACCGCTCCGAGCCCTGCCGCGGCTCAAGCAGCAGACTCTTTCTGTACAGCGCATCCAGCGAGCCGCTACCGCGCTCAGCCAGCACCCGCGTCAGGTACCGCTGCACCACATCAAGCTCCTTCAAGTCAAACGGCGTCTGGTACCGCTTAAAGTCGGCCGCGATGCGACCCAGCTTGACAAACTTGTCCTGGTTGATGAGCTGGATGTCGGGCGAGATCGTGCTCGGCCTCGTGTTCGGGTTGCCGTCTTGCGTAAACGTAATGTCGGACAGGATCAAGCCGAGGAATGGCAAGCACGGTTCCGTCACCTCCCGCAACCGCGCACGGTATGCGGCGTGGTTCTTCGTGTGCTCGATAACCCCGCGCAGGCGGTCCATCAGAAGGCGGTACTTGGGGTTCAGCACCGCCCACGTGTTCTTCAAACGTCCGATCGTGCTGCTGTTCAGGCCCGCGAGAACAGCGAACAAGGTCGAAAAGTTGTTCAACACGAGACATTTCTGGATGTCAGCCCCAGTTCAATCTCGCCACTCACGTCTGCCAGCTTGATAAAGAACTTGAGGAGTGCACCGCGGTGCTTTGTATCAAGCTCGTGCAGGATGACATCCGTCACCCAGCCAGTGATCTGGTTGCTGAGCGTGCTGAGAGCCTTCAGCTCGGGAACGCTCTTTTTGCCAGTCTGGAGCAGGTCCTCGGGCGCGACGGCCGCAAAGAGCTTGCTCTCCATGATCGTGAGCTGGCGTGCCAGCTCAGTCGCGTCAAAGTCTGTGATGTTGATGTTGGGCTGAGGAGTCTTGCTCAGCTGCGCCATAAGGGTCTTGCTGATGATCGGCGTCTTGACCGTCGCAGCGGGGTTGGGCGAGAGAACAATGGTGGTCGAAGCGCGGCTGCGATCAATCGACTTGCCGCTCGTGTGTCCAAGCGAGCTCTTCGAGTCACCGGCCTCCCCGTCCTTGTCGTTGAGGGCGGCCATGCGCTTTCGCAACGAGTCTTGCGCCCGCGACGCGAGTGGAACCGCCTGCATTACCTCCGAGTTGAGGAAGGCATCGAAGTGATCGAGAACAGCGTCATCGGTGGCGGGGCGCCAGTGGTGGTCAAGCCATGTCTTGAGGCAAATAATCACACGGTAGCGCACGGGCTTTTGCTTGTTCTCGGCCCACTTAGCCTGGGCCTCCTCACCAAGGCCGGCGACAACAGGTGGCGCCGCAATGTTGAAGCGCTGGATAAACGTCTCGAGCACGTCGGCGGGAGTGGAGAACAGCCGGAACGTAAGCCAGAACGACTCGGCGAAATTGCGGTCTGGGAGTCCATCGACGGGCGTAAGCTTCTCGATGAGCACGCGCAGGGTGCCGCCAACGAGAACGCCGTCTGGATTGAATGCGACCTCGCGCGGGTCATAGTCGTGCGACACGACCCAGAACCGCAGGTCGCCGTCCTCGTTCTTGCCGTCAAGCGAGAGTGCAGGTGACTCGGGCGGTGGGGGCGGACGAGCCGGTGCAGGCCCTGCCGGAGGCGTAAAGTTCTTCGCCGCGTGCTTGAGACCCTCGATGGACGGGTCGACGATGGGCAAGTCGCCATTGATCGGCTGGTCTGGGAGGAAGGCTGCGCCCTGCAGCTCGCCCGAGCTTGTCGAGTGTGGGAACGGCGAGGTCGTGGAGAGCTGCGAGATGGACGTGTGCGACTGCGATGAGAACGACGTCAGTGTCGGAGGGCGCGACACTGTCGATGACTCCGGCAGGTCGTCCGTCAAGTCAATCTCGTTCGCGAAAGCGGTGCGGCGCTTGGACGGCGACGACATGCTGGTCGAGCGCGACCTCGAGGCCTCGGTCGCGCAGTCCAGCTCATTACCCGCAGGGTGCGAAATCGGGCGCGAGCTGTGGCGTGGCGGTAATTTGCTGGTGCTGACGAGGTACTCGTCGTCCGTGCCCAAGTCTGCTACGATTTCCTCGTCGTCTTCATCCTCGAATCTCCGCACAGAGCCTTCGGTCGTGACGCGCGCGCCGTCACCGTTGAAACGCTTGTGGAGGTGCGTGAGACTCGTCGCGCGCCGCTGCAGGCCTTGTATGGACTGCGGGCCGCCGCGGATGCCCAGGCCGATGCCCTGATAGCCGCCCCGTGTTGACGACGAGTATCCTGCCGTGGTAGTGGTGTCGGAGTGGTCCTCTGAATCCGGGACGGTTCTACGCACAACGCGGGCGCACTCGGATCCTGCGCGCAGAGTCAACGTGGTGTGTTGCAAGAGATGGCTCTTCTCGTCGTCGTACTGGTCACTGCTGGCCTCGGTGAATGGTGCGTTGGCAACCTTCTCTGCGCTTTCCACAAGGTTGCTCGCCGCGTCGAACAGCTCATCCCGCGCGACCTTGAGTCCTTCAATTTCGCGCTGGCGGATGCCAAGCGGGCCAGCTCCGCGCCCGACTCCCTCAATGATGGAAAGGAGCTCGCGCACGGTGTCAACCGTCTCGCGCGTGAGTTCAATAAGGTACGCGTGACTCGACGGATGCGAGTCGATATGGTGTGAGTGGATGTGGCCGATAAAGCTGGCAATTACGGATAGCAAGCCGTCCTCGGCCGCCGCAACAGCCTCGTGAACCTCTTGCCCGCTAGTGTATGCGTACACTGCATGCTCAGCTTCTTCCTCCCGTCTGGTTGGCACGGCCGAGGTGCTCTGCGACAGATCTGGTGTGACAAAGTCAGGTGAGCTGCCCCCTGATAGCAAGAGCTCGAATGATGTCGAACGTGCGATCCGGGCAGCCGACGAGGTCCGTGGTCGGCCTCGCAGCGAACCGCCGAATCCGCCGAGCCCAGGTGACGACTGGCCAGACGAGGCCGGCGACATCATGGCCGTCGAGAATGCGGGGCTCGGCCGCGAGGACGTGCTCACAGGCATTGGGGGTGGTGGACTGTTAGTACCCTGTCGCCGGGCGGCGTAACGCAAGTCGTTCGTGCTCGCCGACTTGAGTCTAAATGTAGACCCGCGGTCGCCCGAGTGCCCATTAACTGTGACACGCATTCTTCGCGACGACGTGAATGCTGTATGCAACCCCGCCTCGGAGCAGCTATCCTCCTCATCACCGACTGGTACGCCTAGTTCGCTCGCCACGGCGACGAAACGACGAATGGAACGAAACAGCGACGTCACTTCGGCAAGCGTCGCTTCGACAAGCTCCTCTGGGTACGGCTGTTGGGAAACCTGTAGCCGCTTAGCACTGTTCACGAACGGCGTAAGGCCGTTTAGGGTCGCTGATCGGGCCCTGCTCAAGGCAGAGTTGCGGAGCAAGTCCGAGTGCTTCTTGACACAACCTGTCCGTGACAGAATAGTGCGGATGCTAGCCAGAACGGCTTGAGCGTAGTGGGCGACAGAGCTCTGGTTTGGCTGGTCGCGAATGTCGCGCTGGTACGCGGTAAGAGCAGCAATTGCTGGTTGCAAGAGCGCATTGTACTCGTCGGACAGCGGTGACGTCGTATGGTTGACAGTTGAATACGACTGTTGGGATGTATGTGACTGGTAAGAGGCGTAGGATGCCGACGACAGCATTGAAGCGTGACGCGACCTGGCCTCGGTGAACGAGCTGGCGACGTTGCGCGTTGTGTCGTGTCCCACGCCCCTGGGGCTGGATGGGGGCTCGCCGCGAGACTCACGTCGCGATGACTGAGGTCAGCTTGGAATATAAATGACACGGGGGTAGCCGCGCCGCAGCCTTCCTTGGCCTCGAAAATGCGCGCTCGGTGGAGAGGACAAAAGAAAGGTAGAGGACAAAGGAAACGCACCTGGCCCCAGTCGAACGGCTTGACATAGTTGCTCGGAAACCAGCCTCTGCGGCTGTCGCACTCGCCGTCCCACCACCCGCTAGGATCGCGTGTAATGACACGAATGTATTGCCCGCCGCGAAAGGAGAGGTATACGAGGGCGTCTGAGCTTGTGCTAGCTTGTGCGCCGCCCATCATGCTGCCGTCAAAGTCAACGAGAGCGACGACCATGCTGCTCTGCCTGTGGTGGTGGCCCGAGGAGCGGGATGGTGAGGGAGGAGTGTTGGGCGCTGTGCTGCTCGTGCGGCGCGATCGCCGGTATCCGGAGACGGATTGGTTGGAGAGCCTTGAGACGTGCCCCGTGCTGCTGTCGTCGGGGCCGCTTGCTGCGGCACTTGCCGCACTGGCCCTCCTCATGCTTGGGCCTGCTGCTGAAGAGGAAGCGTGGGCATTCGAGTGGCGCGAGTGGTGAGTGGAGGAGGAAGAGGAAGGGTTGTGGTGGTGGTGGTGGTGTGAGTGGGAGAACTGTGAGGGTGGGTGTTGGCGATGGTGAATGTGTCGATCATGAGAGGTTCCGGCAGTCCCGCTTGTGGCGGGGAGGAACGAGGATGAGGAGGAGGAGGAGGAGGAGGTGGTGGTGGTGGTGGATGATTGTTGATGTGGTGGGTCAGTTGTGCCGAGATGCAGACGCGCCGAGGCGTCTGCAGGCAGCATGATGGGGGGAGGGGGGGAGGGGGATGATGATGATGATGCTGAGAATGTCTTGAGTGTTGAGAAGAGAGAAAGAGCATGGAGAGGAGATGGGGGGGTTGTTAGGATGTCCAAAGGAACAAGGGGAGTGGG